TTGGTGTCCTCGTTGAGAATCTGCCGCTGCATGGCGATGCGGCGGAGAACGAGGTTGTTTCCTCCTGCATCCTCGCCGTCTACAGGCTCTCCCCGGAGGTCCTCCACCCCTTCCTCGGCAAGTCCGTCGCCGGTTTTGTGACGCTGCTGTCTGACGAGGCGAACGCGAAGAACTTGAAGGAGGAGGTGAGGAGGAGGGAACGAGGAGGAAGAGGAGGAGGAAGAGGAAGAGGAGGAGGAGGAGGAGGAGGAGGAGGAGGAGGAGGCTGACTTGTATGCAGACTAAGGTGGGGATGATGTCTTACATCAGTCACCTGCACAAGGAGTACGCGGAGCCGATGCGAGAAGTCTTCGCCTCCTTCCCCCAGCAGCAGCAACTCTGGCTTTCCCAGCACCTCTCATAGTCCAGCTGACTCGTTTATTCTTTCACACCCCAGCTAAAACCCTCAAACTTGTCAAACCCTCGTGCTGTGAAGGCTTCCCTGTCAATTCCCAGCTGAACAACCTCGTCGGCTCGTTCTGCTCGGAGCCTGCTGGGCTCTCACTTCTTGGCCAGTTCCTTGCTGGCCTTGCTCTGCAGGCATGTGACAACGACGGTGTTGACGATGTCGTCGATGGTGCATCCTCTGCTGAGATCGTTGACGGGCTTGCGGAGACCCTGCGGCTCTTCGTCAGCTGAGGAGGAGAAACGATGATGACAGATGCAGCAATGGCGGAGGGGGAGGGGAAGGAGGGGGGTGGAGGAAGGGAGGAATGAGTAGGAAAAAGGAGGAAAAGGATGAAAACTGTGGAGAGCGGGGATGGGAGGAGTCGCACCTGCATGATGGGTCCGACGGCAATGGACTTAGACGCTTGTTGCACAGCCTTGTACGCGTTGTTGCCTGCGTTGAGGTCGGGGAAGACGAGGACAGTTGCCTTGCCAGCTACCGGGCTGTCTTGCCCCTTGTACTTCACCGCTGCTACCGCTGGGTCAACAGCAGCATCGAACTGAATGGGGCCCTCGATGAGCTCGTTGGGGGCGAGCAGCCGAGCCTTCTTAGTCGCCTCCCTGACCTTGTCGATCATCGGGCCCTGGTTGGAGTCGCCGGTGGCGTAGGAGAGCATGGCAACGCGCGGGAGGATGCCAAAGGCTCGCGCGGTATGAGCGCTGGCGACTGCGATTTCTGCGAGCTCGTCAGCCGTGGGGTCAACGTTGATGGCGCAGTCGCCGAAGACGAGGACCCTGCCGGGGAGGAGCATGAAAAAGACGGAGCTGACGAGCGAAAAGCCCGGCGCCATCTTGATCACCTGCAGCGCTGGCCTCATGGTCGCTGCCGTGCTGTGGCATGCGCCGCTGACCATGCCGTCGGCTTGATCCAGGTACATCATCATGGTGCCGAACCAGTTGGGCTCTCCCTGCAGCATGTCCCTCGCCAGCTCCTTGGTCATTCCCTTGGACTTCCTGGCGTTGTAAAGCGCATCGACCATCTCTTCGGTCGTCTCGGTCTCGGGGTCGACAATCTTAGCGCCCTTGAGCGACACGTGGTTTCTCTTCGCCTTGTTCTGGATCAAGTCTTCCTTGCCCAAGATCGTCACCTCGCAGAGGTTCCTTGCCAGCAGCTCTCCAGCTGCTGCCAGCACTCGGGGATCGTCTCCCTCCGGCAGGACGATTCTCTGCTTATCGGTACGAGCGGCAGAGAAGATGTTGTGCTGGAAGAGCTTGGGGGTGACCACATAGTCATCTGCGTTGGTCGCCACCAGCTGGTTGAGAAACTTGGGGTCGATGTGCTTCTGGAAGAGAACCTGAGCTGCTTCGATCTTGGTCGTGCTGCTGGGGAGGAGCACGGGCCGGTGCTTCAGGAGGGTGGTGGTGCAGGCAAACGTGTCTTCCTCCACGCCGATGACAGGCATGGCGATGCCGTTGAGACCGCACAGAATGTCGTCAACGTCGGGATCAAGATTCCTCGATCCGGTCAGGAGGATGCCCGCAGGACGAGGATAGTTGCTGGAGCGAGCAGCGAGGACAAGGGAGAGGAGAACGTCAGCGCGTCCGGAATGGACGATCACCAACGTTCCCGGATGAACTCGCAGGCGATGGAGCATGCGGTTCATGTCCAACGTAGCCACCGTGATGTCCTTGACGATGGAGCGATCGAGGCTCTCCTCACCGAAGAACACCTTCGCTCCCAGGGCGTCCACCACCTCCGCCATGGTCACCTGGTGGATGATGGCTGACTTTGGAAGCATTCCGACCGACCTCAAGCCCAGCTGTTCGATGGCCTCCTTGCATTCGTTGGCAGTCTCCGCATACTCGTTGCCCGGCGGCAGGCCGCTCATCAGAACTCCCGCAATCTTCACGTTGCTGGACTCGAGCCCTCCCTTGATGATGGCCAAGTCCGATTCATGCCCCACATCTGAGATGAGAAGGACAGGCAGGTTGAGTGCTGCTGCCATTTTCTGCGACCAGAAATGGCTGTCATTCTCCAAACGACCGCAACTGACCAAGACAAAGTCCTTCCCTTTCCTGTATTCGACGTACTTGCTCAGGATCTGATCAAAGAGCTCTTTCTCTTGCCCATGTGAGAGCAGCTTGGTGGCTTCTGCCACCGTGATTCCTTGCATGACTTCAGGAGAATCATCCAGACGAAAGATGGATCGCATCAAAGAAATGCTGCGGTCGTTCTCGCCCTCAGCAAACGGACGGAAATATCCGACCCTCGGAGCGCGGGGGAGGACCGCGTACAACAATCCGACCTCCTCCACAGCAGTCATTCCAGTCCCCTCAACAAACAAGGCGTTTCCGAGCTTGGGTGCAGCTGGGTCTTGTTCGGACTGAGCCTGCTCCGGGACTTGCCACTCTGTTTGTGCCTGTGCAAGCTTCTCCGCTCCGGACAGTTTGGAGACGATACCAGCCACGTCTGCTGATTGCAGTGCGATGGAGAGCTCTTCGTTGGTGGGGATCACCAGAATCTTCGTCCTTGAGAACGTCCCTTGAACCTCGCAGAGAGAGAGTCCGCTAAGGTTTTTGGTAGTATCCAGCTCAATCCCCAAGGACCTCAAGCCATCACAAATCGATTCTCTGAGGGCAAAATCATTTTCTCCGATCCCTCCTGTGAATACGATAGCATCGAGCTCTCCGTTCAGTTTCACCAGGTATGCTCCGAGGTACTTTCGTATCCTTTCAACAAAGATCTGTCTCGCCAGTTTTGCGTCCTGGTCGCCTTTACTGGCTGCAGAGATGATACTGCGCATGTCGTTCTGTCCGCACAGCCCCAGCAAACCACTTCTCCTATTCAACATCCTGTCTACCTCTGCAGGAGACATGTTAAGCTGAGTGCAGAGATGCGTGTAGATGCCAGGATCGACATCTCCACAGCGGGTGGCCATTACCAATCCTTCCAATGGCGTCATTCCCATAGTTGTATCTATGCCTTTTCCATTCTTCACGCAGCACATGCTTGCTCCACTCCCTAGATGCAGCATTATAACGTTCAAGTCCTCTATCGGACGCTTGAGCACGGATGCAGTGGCTCCAAGAACAAAGGTGTAGCTGGTACCATGGAAGCCATATCGTCGAATTCCTGTTGTGAACAGAAAATGGATCATTTTGCTTAAATGCAGAGAAGTGCTAATCACCGTGTTCTTCGTAGAGCTCTTTTGGAATCGCATAGCGATATGATTCCGGGGGCATCGTGGTATGGAATGCAGTATCAAACACAGCAACATGCGGAGCGGGGAAAAGCTCCTTTGCGATCCGAATCCCTATAAGGTTTGCTGGATTGTGAAGTGGAGCTAGAGTCGAACATTTTTCAATCGCCTGTATGACTTGGTCGTCTATGACCGTGGGCCCTGAAAACATATTGCCGCCATGCGCAACACGATGCCCGACAACTTTGATGTCGTTGAGGTCTTGAATGGCCCCATCGCGTTCAGTCAGGATTTCAACCACTTTCTTCAGTCCGGTGGCATGATCTGGAATGGACATCTCGTGGATTACTTCCTTTCCTCCTGTTACATCCTTGTGCTTGAGCTTCGCGTTCTCAGAGCCAAGGCTGTCAACGATACCCGAGCAAAGCTCTGTGCCATCCTTCCCGTCTGTCTTGATGTCGAACAGGCCATACTTGATGCTCGAGCTGCCAGCATTGAGGACGAGGGCGTAGTTGTTGTGCTTGTGCTTGCTGGAAGAAAACCAGCGGACATGCGCGATGACTGGTCGAGTTCGTAGGAGAGGAGGGAGCCTCCTTGTGATGGCCCGACACAAGGCCGGCATGATGCGATTCCCTGGTCAATGAACGATGTTAGATCCATAAGAATGAGCAAGATGCAGAGAGGAAGTGATGAGAATCAGGATCTCTCAGAAGGAAGGAATAGAGGACTAGATGATTCAGCCTACATTGCAGTTTGAAGCTCTCCTTATCAGTCTTATTCATCTTTGTGAGAACATTGCCCTGAATCGATCTCTCCCATTCTTTCTCATTTCGCATCTTTCACCATGTACATTCTTATTATCAGTACTTTCCTAGGATTTTGGGTCCTCGTTTCAACATGGGTGTTTCCTCACCCACTACGTCTTTGTCCTTTTGAAATTTCTTCACTCCACATCCTTTGGTTTTCATAACGTTCTTGCATTTCCTGTACTACTGGACATGTGTCCTTGTTCCTCTCCCTTTACTCCTCCTTCCTCTCCCTCTTCCTCCTCCTCTTCCTCCTTAGTGCTCGCCACAGCAAACGAATCACAGAGGAGCAGCATGAAACAGTAGTGAAAGAACAGCCGTAAGATGTATTGGGTCTGAATTCCGCATGGTAGGGGGTCTGCACTACCTTTTCAACAGGGGTAGTTTGCAAGGATAGCTGGAGGGTGGTAGTTCTCATTAGGGGGTAGGGGTGCATTGAAAATAACGGGGGATAGCTCTACTTTTGTTCAGATGTCATCAGGTTGATTTAAATGCTGGGGTACTGTCAGCAAATTGGGGGTACTGGACCGTCTAAGATGAAATAAATAAGGGGGTACATTCATATCAACTGCGCGACACAGGGGGTAGTGATTTGAGGAGAAATGAAATTTGAAATCAATATTCAATGTGTAGGGAGTGGGGAACGACAGGTGCATATGAAGGGGGGTAGTACCGGTACATTGTTGGGGTGGAGGTGGTTCGTCAAGTTTGTGGGCAATGTCGGTAGAAGAGAGAGGAAGGGAGAGGGGGAGGGAGGGAGGGAGGGAGGGAGGGAGGGAGAGGAAGGGGAAGGGAGGAGGGGAGAGAGACAGAGACAGAGACAGAGACAGAGACAGACAGACAGACAGAGAGACAGAGACAGAGATTCACATCTTGATAAATATAAACCCGTGATCTCACCAAGGTAAAATATCGTGCATTAACGTGTGATTGGAACATTTTGTTTTAAACGGGGTTGATATGTCGATACTTGCAAGTCTGTGCTACTCAAAAAGGTGATAGACGGGGCCGAGCAAAGAGGAGCGATACTCGTCTGATAGAAGTTTACCCACGTTTTCATTGCAGCTTTCACTCGAGAGATGTATCAGAGCACTCAAGCAATTAATACCATCATTTGGTATCACTTTTCACTCATCAAGAGGAAATTCATGGTACCCAGCGTGTGCGTGCACATTGACAAAGCAAGATTTGGACCACCAGTTAACCCGACCTAATCGAAGCAGTTCAGCCAAGAAAGTGCAAGGTAAGGGCTACATGCTGAGTATACGTCGGCATCGTTGTCGTAATTACCTAAGGACTACATGATGAGCATGACCTCGGCATCGTTGTCATCAGTATCAACCAACATCAAAAGCGACTTGAAGCACAGTTTTGATTCCTTTATTTTTCCCTGGTTATGATTATTGAAGAAAGAAAAAAACAAGTAGAAATATGAGACTGAGTATGAAACAGTGAATTCCAGGCAGAAAAAAATGTTGAGACGATGACTGTCGAGATTTTCCTCGCCATACTTGAGACGCCCGGAAGCCATAAAACTTCAACTTTCTCAGGAGACTGATCTCAACGACATCTTGCTGTGGGCGAATAAATAAATGGAAGTCAGGCCGGCCGGACAGTTCAACAAGTTGGGCTGCATCATGTCGACGCTGCGAGCGAGAGCAGAGACAAGTCAAAACCGCTGGACAACAGGACGGTCAACCACCTGCAGTGTAGTATACTGTCGAGACAAACTTCCCCCTAAACCGACTTGTCAACCCAACCTGATGAACAAAGTATCGTCACTCTTTTGCCCGTGAGGACATGAGAGACTTACTGCAACAAGTCCATCTGGCAGATCCTTGTTGAGAAACGCATGATTCAGAGTGCTATGATGAGGCATCGGGAGAATGCTGCTCAACGAGCTCATCACGCCACAGGTTACAAAATATCACTTGCTCACCATCCTTGCATGGGCATCGGAGGATGATTGAGAAGCGAGAACTGAAAGTTCATAGTCAGCACCACCTTCTCAATGATTCTCGTGCAGCACCTGCAAATGCGGCGGCATCGCTGGTGGATCCTTGATATACTCATCTGGATCGACCGGTGGGCAAGAATATCTGGAGCAATCAAATTCAAAACCCAGCGTTGACCACGAGATAGGAAGATCGAGATCCTCACGTGTTTCGAGGAGAAGGCGGCTCTTCTCTTGTAGGGTCTTGGTCCATGGGCGCCTCTTCGGCTGCCTCTGCCTCTTCAACCTGCTCAGTATTGTACTCATCAGCCGGAACCAAGCCTGAGATCAAAGATGTTGCGGACCTCAATACAATTATTTTCATTTCCAACAGAATCCAAACATCTTGGTTGATCCTGGAAAATTGTCAACAATTCCATCACAACGATCTGAAGGATTTTTCTTCATGACAACGACTACACAACCCTCAGCATGCAAGAAAGATTCAGCTATTACCTGTGCACAACGCCATTCTCCGTCGACGATGAACTTGTACTGATGGATACCAGGCACAATCTGCACCACTGTACCATAGCTCCCATCATCTTCTCTTGTCAGACGAATCTTCGTTTGCCAGTTGCTGAACGAACCCACGACATAAACCTCCCGCTGTGCACCATGGTGCCATCTGAACGCGATTGGAACGGCACACTTCAGTTCCGGAGACTGAAGGTCTCCTCCTGGCATTCCACCCGCTATCACATTGCTCGACAGTCCTGTCATGCTCGGGGACCCTCCCAACTTGTCCTTAGAGCCTGTAGCGCCCATCCCTGATCAAGTCTCGACCGACTTAAAATCCTTGCGCGAACCCTCGCGTTGTATGAAGATGCAGGGAGCCGCCTCCCTGTGACTTGATGTTTGCCTCCTCTTCGCTCAAAACGATTCAATTACGAAAGTGATGGTCTGAAATTTCGAGGCAGGCCTGCTTCTGCCTACACAACCTATTCAAATAGGACTTCAGGAAATGCAAAACAGGCTGGTTCAGCATGCGCAACCGAACATTTGAGTGTCCAATTAGGTATGCACGCGAAGTGTAAGGCACAACAAGGGCTAGGAAATCAAGTAAGGTTTAGCAATCGTCCACTAAGTGCAATGTGACCAACAGACTCATGTTTGCAACTCAAGTAAAGGAGGAATACTCGCAAGTTGATGCGGATGACTTTGATGGGGTATTGGCATTGCACAAATAAAAAAGAACTCGAGAATATGTGCAGCTTGTAAGGGTGAAGATGGCATGTAAATTCCATGATCCGCATGATAGCAAAAGAAAGAAGCGATGGGGATGGGGATGGGGAAGACCGTGGATCGATGTGGTGAACAATGTAACCAGTACACGCATCACAGTCTGGAGGATGATATCGTGACAACAAGATTTGATACAAAATAATAGAGATGAAACGAGAAGGTAACGGAGCAACAAAGGCAACAGATGCACGAAGGATAAAGTCGAAGGTGTCGGATATAGATCCAGGAGGAACTAGATGGAGAGTGATGAAAGCATGGGAGCGGAGGGTGAAGCGAAGAGGAGATAGAGGATCAGTGATAAACTGTTGGTTCTCGTCCTATGTATGCATGTTAGATTATGTCGACGTTCGCTCGCTGTACACATGCTCTGAGCATGCTGCACGGCGGCTGCGGGGGCTGCCCTGCCGAAAGTATGGGTGGGTGGGGTGATCATAGCAGGGGTGGTCAGTGAATAGTGAGTATTGTTGTAGCAGCTCCATGGTGGGTGATCGAATTTCTTTGAAATGTTGGAGGGAAATTTGATAATTAATCGTGAAATGAGTTAGTAAAATGTAATGAGTTAGGATATTTGAAATCAGAGATGGAAATCTGAGGGTGGGGGTCAAAAGTACATTGCTCATGTTGTCGGCGGGGTACCAGGATTCTTCTATCAGGAGGGGTTGTCATCTCATAACTGGAAAACAGAGGGTGGGGGTCCTCAGACCTGTTTCAGTACCCGGTACTTTAATATCAAAAGTACCGGGTATCTTTACTTTCATCATTTCGTAAGGTAGGGTTAACATACACCGGTGGTTTTCTCAGAGTTTTGTTGTTGAATAGGGTGGGTGGTCTGTCTCAGATACACATCCACTACCCCTACATAAGTCTCGTCGAGAGTAGGGAAACGTAGGGGTAAGGGTCTGGGGGGTTCTCCACTTACCACCGGGGTGCTGAGACCATGGAATCCTGGAGAAAAAGGGGGTAGAAGATGGTCGACCATCATCCCGGGTCAACCGGATCCGGGCCTGCGCCGCACGGTCTGACCGTCGGACTCATCAATAACTGAGGCCCTAGAACATTTACTCAAAGTCAGGCTAGAGTCGGCCCTCAGGGCCGACTCTAGCCTGATCCTCTATCTCCTCTCCGCTTCACCCTCCGCCCTTTCACGGTGCGGCGAGGACGCCCGCCGCAGGGCCGCCGGTCACCGGTCCGTCACGCGGCAGTACTAGCCTGAGGCCGTTCGAGTCTCAGAGTCACGGAAGAACAGCCGCACGGTGCAGAGCCGCGACTTAACTCCGCCAGTGAAGTTCAATTTCAGCCCGGCCAGTCACTCAGAGGCTCAGTGTTAAGGCTCCGTTGGATGGCATCATGGCATCAGCGGCACAGCAACTATCGGGTAGTACGTTCAACGATCCTTTATTCAACTACACTCTGCCGCAGACATACGAAGGCTCCTCGGACTCGAACGGCAGAAACAGGTGAGCTGGCTCAGTTACGCTGCTTCTTGCTTCGTTGGTGGGGTTGGACCAAAGGAAAGCAGCTTTGACAGATCGTTCACCCAGGGCTGAGTCCACCCTCCTTCGCTTGGCTTGTTCTTGTCCTTTCCAACCTCGATCTCCCCATCGCTTTGCTTCTCGGCCTGCTGAGATGAGGCCGGTTGTTCGGGGACCTGCTCCAAGGTCGTGGTGTGATGTCGATGATGCCTTCGACTTTTCTTTTCCTTCTTATCCTTCTTCTTCTTCTTCTTCTTTTCCTCCTCCTCCTCCTCCTCCTCCTCCGGAGGCTGGTCTTGTTCCTGGTCCTCCTCTTGAATTTCGTCCTCTGCTTCCTCTCCTTCGTCACCACCCTCTTGTTCAATCTCGACATCCTCGCAGCCTCCTCCAGGCGCTGTATCCATGGCATCGTCCTGCTCGCCCGAGTTCAGGGAGAACTCGCCGTAGCCGTCGGGCATGTTGATATCTCCGATGGGGATGTTGAACATGTCGTCTGGGAAACCCTCGAAGATGTCCATGTCGAACCCATCAAGGAAGTCGAGGTCCAGGTCGAGGTCGAAGTCCAAGTCAAGTCCTTCCATCAAATCGCCCAGTTCGCCGAGTGCATCACTCATAACTTGCTTGAAGACTTGTTTCTTCACCCACTTCATCATTCTTGCTTTCCTGTGCACAAGAGAATGGACGCACATGCTTCTCCAGTCTGTGACCTTGCTCTTCTTCTGTTTGAGCTCCCTGATCGCAGATTTCTTCCAGGTCTTCACCTCGGCTCTCAGTTCCTTGTTGATATCTACGACCTCCAACTTTGAGCACACGTAGTCCATCTGTTGGAAGAGCAGCGCAGCGTCTGCAACCTTGAGCTTGTAGTGAAGCTGCCACAACACAGCACGAGCATCGCAGAGCGAATCATGGATGGTGGAGGTGCTGCTGGAAATGGGCGACCATCCTCCGGCCCAAGACGTGTAGCCCTTATCGATCACCTTGATGGCTTTGTCAATGCCTTGGTCTCCCCTCCAGCCGAAGGTCCTGACTCGGAAATGTTGTGCTCGTTTCCTTTTCTCGTGTAATGCTCGTTCAGCCGCGTCAGGATGCTTCTTGCAAGTTTTCCTCGACTTCTTCTCCCTCTTATGGTCGTACTTGGCTCGCTTCTCGTTCAAGGCTGCAGTCGCTACCTGGATGTTTTTCACTAGATCTTTCGCAGCTCCAACGCTGGGTTTGAAGACTGAACTCTCCGGCTCTACCAAGGTGGGAGGAAACTTGAGGTCCGCAACGAGTGTCGCGAGCTCAATCGACATCGACGCAAGGGCTTCGCCGTCTGCAGCCGGCATGTACAGCAGACGCACTATATGATGTAACTTCTCAGAGATCAGAGGTAAAACCTTTTGATTGGGTTCGATCATTGCGTGTCTCGTAAGAATCGACACCGTTGTTTCAATCTTTGCAATTTTCCGCAAATAGTCGTCGCAATCAAAGTTTGATTTCCCCGCTTCGTGCAGCATCTTAGAAGTCGAGGATCGAAGCTCGACCCAGCTGTCAACTACATGTTTCTGCAGAGTCTTTTCATCAAGCGCTAGAGGGATCTCTCCGTAATGGATGACGCGACCGTACACGTTCTTGAAGCTTCCAACCTCAGGGTTTTGGCGGGTCTTGAATAAGAAGAAAGGGACGACCAGGGCCTTCTTTTCCTTCTTTTGAGCACCAGCGGGCATTGTTAAGCAGGAAGCAAACATTGTCTCCCTTGATTTGTTTTGAGCAAGCGGTATCTGTACCGTTAATGAAAGCGGAAAGTCGAGAATAGGATGAGAACGGGGAGTGGGGAGTGAGGAGGAGTGGATGAGATATGACGAGAGGGAACGAGGAGGTGGCGGATGAGAGGAGGGAAGGGGAAGCTGACTTGATAAACCATCGGCAATCTTTCAAGGTTTGCTCCTAGACCGACACAACTTCTTCGCGCACCCGGGGCCCTGCTTGACGAGTGGGTGGGGGTGAAACGGGGAGGGGTGTGCTGGAAAGGAAGGAAGGGGAAGTAGATGGGTGGGTTATTGGAAATGAAGGGGTAGGGTACTTGCAGCGCCTAGGCGGATGAGGGCAGGACGCGAACAGGAGAGTTTTAAGAAGCAGCAGGGAAACAAACCAGTAAAAAAGTGATTTAACTTAAGGGCTCTAGTGCCTTCTTCAGCTCCTCTGACAGCATCTCTCATTTCCCTAAGTCCCTTCGCGCGGCCACGCTCAGCTCGGATTGTACTCGTACCTTAACTTTGAGTAAACCCAGCCGCTCAGCGCCACGGACATGAGGCTACCGTACTGTCGACCATAATCATCATCCGCACGGGTGACTGCCGGGCGGCCGGGCCCCGGGGCCGCTGATCACGGTACGGTACAGATTACCGCCGGGCCGGGGCCGGGGCCCGCCGGGTAGGCCCAGGGTAGGCCCGCCAGACTGATTGCCCGGCGGGTTGAAGTTGAAACAATTAAGGCTAGGAGTAGGTGCCACGGTGGTTCTAACCCCGCCGGGCCTCCAACGGCTCGCTCTGACCAGCCATGGCGATAGGAAGCGGCGGGTCGCTGCTGCTGCTGCGACCTCTGGCTCAGAAGGTGAATGATTAGACGAGAAGAATGAGAAAGTGTCTCTCCTGCTCTTGATGCTGCTGCTGCTCCTCCTCCTCCTCCTCCTCCTCCTCCTCCTCCTCCTCCTCCTCCTCCTGCTCCTAAGTGTTGCTTTCTGGTTTGCTCATCGATCGGTTCTTCTTGTCTGTTTTCATTGGCTCGTGTGAGTATCGCAAGGCTGTCTCAGTCTCAGTCTCAGTCTCAGTCTCAGTCTCAGTCTCAGTCTCAGTCTCAGTCTCAGTCTCAGTCTCAGTCTCAGTCTCAGTCTCAGTCTCAGTCTCAGTCTCAGTCTCAGTCTCAGTCTCAGTCTCAGTCTCAGTCTCAGTCTCAGTCTCAGTCTCAGTCTCAGTCTCAGTCTCAGTCTCAGTCTCAGTCTCAGTCTCAGTCTCAGTCTCAGTCTCAGTCTCAGTCTCAGTCTCAGTCTCAGTCTCAGTCTCAGTCTCAGTCTCAGTCTCAGTCTCAGTCTCAGTCTCAGTCTGTGCACGCCTGCAGGTGATTCCGTTCTACTGCAACACCGACGAACGATGTCAGAGTGAGGTCAGTCGAACAACCTGCGAGATCGCAACCAACATGTCACAGATGTGCATCGAGCGAGTTGAACACACCGCCAGCCGAGCATGCACGAGCAGTGCAAGTTTGTGCCTTGTGCCGGGTGGTGGAGAGCTGGACGAGGAGCTGGAGGCAGTGAGGCAGCATGTCCGAGCGAACGATGCAGGCTGCAAATGTGAGGGGATTGAGTGTGGAACCAAGGTTGGGTTGACATGCCTTCAGTCTGTGTCGTCGTCTGCTCCATGAAGGTGGGGAGGGAGCTGCTGCGAGGCTGGAGCGCAGCTCCTCTCCTCCTCGTTGTCAACCAGAACTTTCTGACCCCCGAGATGATGGACCTCCTGCCCCGCTTGCAATTCTTCGACCTCTACTTTGACGGAGACTTTGAGGCTCCTCCCATACTTTTCTTGCGCAGATCACTGGTAAGCCTGCCTGCCTGCCTGCCTGCCTGCCTGCCTGCCTGCCTGCCTGCCTGCCTGCCTGCCTGCCTGCATCCTCCTCTTCCTCCTCCTTCTGCTCCTCTACTTTTGCCTCTTCTCTGTTTCCTCTTGCTCTTCCCAGCGGCTTGAGGATTGATCTCATCGCCCGCCTCCTTGCTCTCCCTCATGAGCCCTCAGATCGAGGCGAACCAGAGCGAGGAAGTCCCGCTGGAGCTGCTGGACTTGCTGGCGAAGCACGACAAGTTCAAGCACGTGGACATCAGCTACTTGTGTCAGCATCTCAAGCACGCGTGGTGACCCCGCGATGACTGCTAGCGTCACTCCTCATCGACTCCTCATGGCGCCTTCAGGTTTCCTCAAGAGTTTGTCATGTGCTCTGAAGACGAAGAGCTCACAAGCAACTACATCATCGCTCAAGGAGCTGTTGATTACATCGTCAGGAACCATGACGGGGTAGAGATGCCGCAGCTGTGCAAGCGCTTCACCAAGGGAGATGTCTTCGGGGAGTCAGGTAGAGAGTTTCTTCCTTCTCCTGCTCCTGCTCCGATGTGAGCTGAAATTCCCCTCAGCCTTGGTCAACCAGCGCGTGCGGACTGGAAGCATCCGCGTGCAAGTGAGCCGAGACTCTACCGGAGGAGCAGACGTGTTGGTGTACAGCAGGGAAGACCTTGCGAGGGCGAAGGCTGCGAGGAAGAGCCAGGAGATCCTTGCTCTGTTCCGTCAGAAGCAGGAGAGGTGCCTCCTCTCGTCGCCTCGCACCCCGTTGGTTCTGACGCCAGTGGAGGTCGGAGGAGCAGGAGAAGAAGGTGATGGACTACCTCGACGGCCTCGAAGAGGAGGTGCGAAAGATCTCTGGGCTGACGGGCACTGAGAGGCCTCTGACCCCAGGACGGCTTCTTCTGCCAGCTGTCGAGTGACGTGCGGAGGTCACTAGCTGGGAAGTTGAAATTGGTGGAGCTGGAGAAGGGGCAGGAGATCTGCTCAGCTGGTGAGGAGCTCAAGGCTCTGCTGATCAGGCTCAGAGGATCGATCGTTGAGGTCAGGAGTGGGGATGGGGAGAGGTCAGAGGAGCAGCTGCGCGATCATCGGGTGTGTGTTGGCTCCTCTTCGACATGGCGATTGACGCCCGAGCATGCAGGGGTTTCTCAGCAGCGTCAGAGCGTTCCAAGGGAAGGAAAGCACGTGGGCCTGCTCCTTGCGCTCCTCTTCAAGAGTCTGCTTGCTATCGCTCTCCCGCAAAGACTACTTGGAGGTCCTCAAGCAGCACGAGGACAGCCGGTTCTCAGCTCTCCTCAGCTTCTGCAGGGAGCACGTCTTCGGCAAGTCGGACCTGCCCGAAGAGCTCAGAGCCTCCAACAACCTCTTCCTCTCCTCCCTCTCTTCGCCCCTCTCCTCCTCTCCCTCCTCCCTCTCCCTCTCCCTCTCTCCTTCCGTCTCTCTCGCCCGCCTCCAGCAGGGCTCGACCTTTGCCGTCCAAGACAGCACGTGCGAGCCTCTTGTTCCGTCAGAGCCTCTCACGCGCCCGGCAGGCTCCTCGAGGTTCAGACGGGGACGTCGGCGAGTGCTGGTGGGCGATGACGTCAGCACGCAACTGCTCACCCTGCTCTAGGGAGGAGACCTCCGAGCCTGAGGCGGGAGGGCCTGCACCTCGACTTCATCCTCAGCGGCTCAGTGCAAGTCTGCTCTCTCTGTCCGCTGGACTTCTCCCTCACCTGTCTGCAGCTCACGCGACGCAGCAAGTTCCAAGCGAGAGATCGCAAGGCCAGCCGGCGAGTCCCGGTGCTGCAGCTGGGGTTGAGCTGGGTGCTGACGAGCTCTGAGGCCTCGAAGGAGCTTTCTCTTCTCCTTCTCTCATCGGGCCAGTGCATCACGATGCTTGATCTCCTCGCCAACGGCAAGTCGTGGACATGCAAGTCAGTCACGTGCTCCTCCTGCTCCTCCTGCACCTCCTGCTCCTCCTGCTCCGTCCTCCTCCCTCCTCCCTGCACTCTCCTCCTCACCTCCGTCCTCCCTCCCTCCTCCCTCCTTTCTCAGGCTCCTCTTCTTCCTACTCTTCTTTATCCCCGTCCCCGTCCTCCTCGTTCTCCTCGTCCTAGTTCTTCTCAGCCTTACAACTAAGAGACAATCAGTGTGACAGCGACAACTGACGTAGAGATCCTAAGCGTCAAGCTTGATCTCTTCCATCGCTGGGTACTCATTCGTTCCTTTCCTTTAAACTCCTCCTCCTCCTCCTCCTCCTCCTGCACCTCCTCCTGCTCCTCCTCCTCCTCTTCTTCCATATCCTCCTCCTCCTCCTCCTCCTCCTCCTCCTCCTCCTCTTCCTCCCCTTGGCCCTTGGCCCTTGATCCTCAGCATCACCGAGGCTGGCAGGCATCAGAGGAGAAGGTCATGGGGATGGAGCAGCTGACGAGCAAGATGAATCAGCGGCGAGCGGAGGTACTGCAAGGGCACCATCGCTGCCTTGAGCGGGAGGGTCTTGCTCCTTCCTCCGAGGACCTCCAGGTGACCCTGCGAGGACGGGCCCTCTTCCTGGTAACACACACGGCAGTTGCTGCTGGACTACAGGAGGGGAGAAACTCTGAGACCCCAGACCTCCTCCCATGGTGCGTCGCCATGCTGCCTCGATCCTCCCACCTGACCCTCTCCCTGCTCTCTCAGGGCGACTTCAGCTAAAGTCCAGCAGACCCACCTGGCAGCGCATCATCGCCCCATGCAAGCAGGTCGACAGCGAGACGAGAGAAGCGCTCGAGCGACTCGCCACCCCGAGAAGGCAACTGACGGCTCCCCGCACGCTCAGAAACAGCAACAGGTTGCCCCTGCTCCTGCTCCTCCTGCTCCTCCTGCTCCTCCTGCTCCTCCTGCTCCTCTCTTTCCGTGCCTAGGGCATCGTCTCACTCGCTCGCAGACCGGCTACGGGGCAGGCATGGTGCAGCGCGAGGCTGGCGAGGGTGGAGGGAACGTTTTTCCGCCTCAACGCCATCAAAGACGGAGGAATCACTTTCACTCCATGGCAGATCAAGATGGGAAGAATCATCTCCCTTCCCCAGGTGTGACCTCACCTGCTCTCATGGTGCTGGTGATGGTGCTGGTGCTGGTGCTGGTGATGGTGCTGGTGATGGTGATGGTGATGATGATGGTGATGGTGATGGTGATGATGATGGTGATGGTGATGGTGATGGTGATGGTGATGGTGATGGTGATGGTGATGGTGCTGCTGGTTGTGCTTGGGCTTGTGCTTGGTATGCTGCTCGTCCTGCTGTCCCTACGATCTTCAACTTTCTTCTCACTTCATCTCCTGCCAGATCTCCATGGAAGAGATTCTGCTGGCTCGACTGAGAGGCACGATGGATTGACCTACTCGCTGCTACTCCTCGCCTCGACCTAAGGAGACGAGGGAGTGAAGAAGGCAGAGAGTTCGATGGGGTTGACGTTAACGCAAGTAAGCAGACTGGCAGTGGAGCGAGCAGCAGCTTGAAGGAGGTAGAGGAGAAGGAACACGGGACTACAAGGGAATGTGGATAAGATCTCGCAACTTCATAAAAACAATAAATTGAAGGCAAGCAAGCACTGGTGTGACAGGACGAGGAGGCGAGAGAGAAAGCCACAAATGGGGAGAGGTGGGGGGAGGGAGAGGACGGAGAGAGGCGAGGAGAGGATGGGTAAGGAGACCGTTACAACCCCATGGAACTTCGTAGCCGGGACTTGGACTCTCCGTTCATCATCCCGCGCACAGAAGAAGTTTGAAAGACCCTCTCCTCTTCCTTCTTGACGATACCGTTGGCAAGCTTGATGCCCTCTACCCCATTCCTGCCAACCAGTTGAGATATGATTAGCGACATGTTCACATATCTTCACCTCAACGAGTGAACTTCACTCCTCGCTGTGCTCTTCGCACTGTTTCGCTCAGATGTTTGATTGCTGCAAGTCACCATCACCCTCGCAATCATCATCATCATCATCATCATCATCATCGGCTGCGACGGCAGCAGCTGCGCGCCATCAGGTTCTACGGCTGCAGACGGAAGGGATTGCAATGGGGAGGGGAAGCCAAGATAGGACATGAGCACTTTGACATGGGTACGCATCAAGTCTCTTGCAGGTTCGTTACCTCGCACTTCCATTCTGCTCGCCAATGCTCAAGCCGCCGAGGCTTCGAGAAATCTTCTTAGCGTCCATTGATCTTCGATCCTAGTACAAAACTTAAACAAGACAAGAAGACGAGGAGTGAGAGAAGAGATGGAGGTAGGAGAGAAGCAGGGAGTGAATGTTGGGGGACGGGACGGGACGAGGAAGGTGTTTCGACACGGTCTCGGCACCTGTCTTACTTCCGATATCCATTGAGCTATGTGAATGTTCACATCCTCGTGAATCGTTTGCAGAAATGGATGCCTGGAAATCTCAAGATAAATACCCATGGCGAATGCAGATGAGAACAAGGTTATCGATTACAATGATGGTGATGGTGATGGAGATAATGATGGAGATGATGGTGCAGAAGATGGGAGTAGATGGTGATGACAACAGTGAATGGATTTGATGACAACAGTGAATGGGTTTGATGACAACAGTGAATGGGTTTGCATAAGACTGAAAGTGCTTAAACGCGTTGCAAGAGGTGATTGTGCTTCTCAAAATGATGAAAAGAATGTAGGTCTCCGGTTGAACACCCCGAGGATTCGAGCACATGTCCACGACCAAACAAAAAGTACAGAAGTACACACGTTAAAGCATCCACCGACGACGGACGCAGCTCATGATCCTTCTCGAGGATGTACTGTACAACCAACATGTCAGCTCCTCCTCCCATCGTCAGCTCCTTCTTACCTGACAGAAGGACTTGAACGCAGGATCAATGTCGTGTGGAAGCTTCGACCTGCCAACAAGAAATCACAGGCACAAAGAGCTTCTGTAGGAGGGGAAGTGCGTGAAACAAGAGATCGGATTCCGCAATCATAAAAGGACTCACGTGGCGCATTGCGAGTTGATCATCACATCCATCAGATCCCAGAACTCAAACTTCTTCTTGTCCATTCCCTCGACGAGATACGGATACCTAAACATCAGCTCAAACGCTCGCCCCTTCCTCCTCTTCTCCCCAGAACCTTCCAAGAGCCGCTTCCACCATGATCACTCCCAGCGCCCACACGTCGGCATTGAAGGAATAGCTTTGCGACATGAGTTAGGAATACATGAAATGACTCGACGAGGAGAATAATCAACAACTGTTGCGTACCTATTTCCAAGAATTCTCTCGGGTGACATATATGTTACAGTTCCTACCCATGTCGCACAAGTAGAGTCGTATCGATCTCTCGGTTTGCTGTTGATTGGTCTTTCAAAACCTCTTGATCAATGTCAATCAAGTTCATACCTGCATACGCCGAAGTCTGCAAGCTTGCATTCACCTTTTCTGTTCAGGAGAATGTTTCCAGGCTGAGCTCAATCATTTCAGCTCACAGGTTACCACCATGAGGATCATCAACCTTGACGTCCCTGTGGATCACTCGTTTCTCCACGTGCAAATATCGCATCGCTTCCAAGATTTGTTTCGCCAATCCTGTAGGTAGCTCAGTTTCCGGATTCATTCTTATCCCTTCTTTCACCTCCAAGCACTGGAACGGAGACCTTGTGATCCCCAAACCGCAAGATATCCAGCAAAGAACCCTCGTCCATGAATTCCATGACAATTTTGAAGATCCCCCTAAAAAGTCGCATTCAATTTCCAGAACACACAACACCGCGAATATCATCCGAGAAAGAATATGAATAATCTGAAACATTTTCGGCATTACATGTCATAGAAGACGCCATGGCAGGCGACGATTGATGGATGATCGAGATCCAACATTATCTGTCAGCAGCATGAGAGGGCTAGTGAGCGCGCGATCTTGACTTACTTGCATCTCTTGGACGATGAGTTTGCACTTCTCTTCATCCGCTTCCAGTGCCTGATACACTCAAATGAACCCATTCAAGACATTGATACAAAAAGAGCCAACCATTTCTTTCAACGCCAGTATTTCCTGAACACTTTGATCCATCACCTAGCAAAATGTGAGGAAATTAATTCTCAGCAATCGAATTCATACCTTCCAGACCGTGCCACTCACTCCTTTGCCCAAACAGGAACTCATCCCCTTGATCTTGACTAAGTCCTCCAACTTGACCCTCAAGGGTTTCGCTCCTCCTAACGGAACCCATCCACCGTAGCTTGTTCTTCCTCCCTAGCAGCGCTGTCAGTCAACAAGGATTACATTGGCTCGCCCAAGACCACCTCAGCTGCTCCACGTTTCGCCTCCAGGTCTGCTCTTGACATTCTCTGACGAGAACTTCGATTCTCCAACCCTTTGTCTGCGTAGCTGTCTCTGAAGCTCCGCAGTGTTTGCGGCGCTGCTGCGATGTCAGCGTCGAGCAGCTTCTTGTGTAGACCGTTTCTGTCGATACAGACAGACCCGCACGTGAACATGGTGTCACTTGAACTGCATCGTTCGTGTCATTGCAAGGCATTTAAAGATAATTGCAGTCACATGATTAGCTGTTGCTTCGGCATCTCTGGGACATCAATCGTGATCGTTTCCCTTCGATTGTTCCCACAACATGGCAGATCCAGCTTTGGTCGAGGGCGGGAGCACCAATTCATCGTTTCCAAAGAAAAACAATGCAGCAACTTAAGCAACGATCAACGTTTCATAGCCTGCCCATGCACAACATTAGATAAGGTCTCGCTGCTTATGTGAGATTTCCGTGAAAGGGGCCCAGTCATGTTTGCACGGGCATCTAGCAATTGTGTAGCAACAAGAAGATAGGTTCAGGGTTTGAGGACAGAAGATTTGCACAAAGATTCGTCAGGGAGGCTTCAGAGAAAGGACAAGACGGTGCAGCAAAGGAATATAACAAAGGATTTCACAACTTCTCTCAGTCACAGCTCGACATTGAAAAGGATAGAGAAACTTCAATCAAGGACCCAGATGAAGAGAGCCATCCAATCAGTTAGGATATTCGTTAGAGTGAAACAACAGGTTCGCAAATTCAGGATTCTGCGTAGATGGAGCAAACTATGCAGTAAAAGTGAAGAGAAGGAGAAGTCTGATGGGACCGAAGCATCAAGACAACCATGGGAGTAGCGATTACAAGACCTGGCATCAGCCAATGATGTAGCTCTGTTTGAGATGTGACAGCGGTGGTAACAAGATGAGGCTTGTTGAGGATGACCGTAGGGAAAAGGGAAAGGGAAGAGGGTCTAGGAGGACTCGACAACTGACGATGCTGCTGCTGCTGCTGCTGCTGCTGCTAACGAGATGAGAGGTGCCGGTAGCTAGAAGACTTGGAGGATAAGACCATGGCAGAGGAGGGGGATATCCGGAACTAACCGCGGCTTCGCCGCATAGCGCAATGATACCAAATTCTGAGTTGGCACTCAGATTTACCAATTTGATTTCTTGAATTGAATATTGGTTATCAAACTCGAAATTTTACTTGAGGGCCGGGGTTTTTTGGGCCATTGCTTTCAATGAGTGGGCGTAAGGTCTCGCCATTCTGAATTTTGTCGAGGTTCCCACCACCCTGTCCCTCACATGAGGAGTAAAATACCAGACAATTTCCTATTGAACAATAATTAAGTAATTATTAGCAGTAGTATGTATGAGTACTTGGTGAACCACCCCTCCCAAACAAAGCAACGCTTCGAAAGCTAAAATTCAGCAGCCGAAAAACGAAAAAAAAAGATACCGAGTGATTTAAAATACATGTATCAATATAAAACATATTGATCAGCAATCTGGTAACTTTCAATTCAACTGGTTGTTTTATAAATACATATAGTACAAAATCAATAGTTTTAGATTATAAAACTTGGTTCAGACTATATTGGAGAAGTACAATTCAGGGCACAGTTTACAAATGCTGACTTACTACAATACTTGTTACAGGGTTTAGCATTGTGTGATCAAATTTTCATTATGATGTGTAAATTTCAAATTTTATGTAAAACTTTGGACTTGTCCTGAAAACGAACCTTTTGTTAACAGGGATACTCGTTACAGACGTTACAATCCGTTGATTTGACTCTTTTCGAGGAACGGTGGGCGGTACTGCACAAGCGGCAAGGGTGGGGAGCAGAGCAGAGAAGAGCAGAGCAGAGCAGAGCAGAGCAGAGCACAGCAGAGCAGAGCAGAGCAGAGCAGAGCAGAGCAGAGCAGAGCAGAGCAGAGCAGAGCAGAGCAGAGCAGAGCAGAGCAGAGCAGAGCAGAGCAGGGTCGAGAAGAGGGGAAAGGGTCTAGAAGAGGGTGGAAGGGAATTAGATGAGTGCAATGTTAGTGAGGAATGGGACGTGGAGAGGTAAGCAGGGGTATAAGCAGTGGATGATCGAGCAAGAAGATTTGAGCCGAGTGAACAGACGTAATAAAGGGTTTTCGCTACAAAAATGAGTGAGACAGTGAAGCTGTTTACATATTCGATCACTGGGGGAAATATGTAATAATTTGAACTGCCGCAACTGAGATCTAAAAGTGTTGTTCTGACGCTTTGGATGGAACTTGTACCTTGTCCGTTTATTTGAAGGAAATTGAATTTGTGCTGCGCAGATGATCCAGCAACGAGTGTCGTCGAGCTCCTTGGCATGAGTCTGTTTGGGAGCATGAGTCAGTTTTTACCTCAGGACATTGAATCACAACTATCACCATCGGATGTAAAACAGAATTCCTCAAACCAGAAGTTGAACAGATCTGCTTTTTGTGTGTTACGAGCATGTGGAAATTGCAGGAGACTGAAGACAAAATGTGACAACACACGGCCTTGCAGTCGCTGCCTTGCCAGGGGCATAGCGAGTACTTGCACTGACTGGGCAAAGGATAAACCAGAATCAAGGAAGCAGGTTTCCAAGGCTTGCGAGCCATGCCGCCGGCTGAAGGAAAGATGTGACGATGAGAGGCCTTGTAAACGGTGTTGTAAGAGAGGGAGAACGCATCTTTGCGTTGACTCCTCTCATGAAGACACCAGTCAGCCCAAGGATTCACCAGTCAATCAGCAGAGCCCGATGTCGCCTGTGCCAAGTCCTCCCACGGAAATCAACAAGAGTGTGAGCCCTATAGAACAAGTGGACCGACCTCTGGCTTTCAAGGCCAACACCGCCTCCTTTGGGATTGAATGTGGTCAGGCCCTGGAGGGTATCTTCACTGGTTCCACTGCTCTGGTTAAGAGATTCAACGAGTTCGGATTCAACTCTAGCCAGAACCTCAAGATGTTTCTGACGATGCCTCCAAAGTTGCAAGATATGCTGAAGGAAGGAGTAAGATTTCTGGAGAACATGTTTGTGCTGAAGGATGATGGGATTTCTACTGCAAGGCATAACATTCACCTCCTTGAGAATGACAATGCAAGCAATCTGAGCAATTGTGAAGACTCAGAGATTAGTGCCCTGGAAAATTTCTCTTCTCTTCACGGTTCTGCCTGTGTCCGTATCAGATACGACCCTGAGGAGTCAAGGAGGAAAGATGTGTGCGTGACAAATTCAATGACCAAGCTGACAGGATTGCACAAAGAAGAGCTTCTGACTCGATTTGCTGCAAAGGACATTCCGTTCTACATGACTGAGTTGGATCAATTCTGCAAGACGATTGAGGGTGCCTTTCACGCCAACGATGTCCTGCTAGAGCGTTATTATCGTGTGAAGGATATTTGGTCAGAGAAGCCAAAGGGTTGCATCTTCTGCAAGTTGTCGCAATGCCGTCAATTTGACGGACGAGGACGTGTTCTGAATCAGCTCTACTACTTTAACCCTGTGAGTGTTATACTCCCTCCTGTCGTCCTCCCTCCCACTGCCTAGCTTCCTTCGCTCTCTAACACACCTCGCTGTTGTCTCTTTCCCTTCGCCACGTTTCATCTCGCCTCTCAAGTTTCTTGTTTGTGCAGGTCTCACCTGAGGAGTTTGATCGTGTTCAGAGGGAAAATCCTGAAATGTGCAGGCCATTTGCAAGGGAGATGGGAGACTTTAGGACGTCAAATGAGCTCATGAACGATTTTCAAGTCGATATGGAGGTGATCAGTGATGTTTTGCGCGTACTACATGTTTTCAGAGCTGAGACGTGTTGTTGCCCAGATTGAAACGTTCGCAAAGCTGAGGCAGAGTGAAGCGGGGAGAGAAAAGCTTGAAAGGTTGATGAGAGCTATTGCTGCAAGGTTTATTCCGATCGTGCAACGAAGAAAAGCAGCTGCTTCGCAGATCGCACAAGTGTAACAAGTGAAACAGTAGGATCTCAACGAGATGGATCAAATTGACGTGATGAAGGATGTAGCAGTCAAGTTTAGATGTATTTTTACAAGCAGTGTGCAACATAATCTAATAGTTAAGCCTAAATTCTCAAGTTTGTTAACATAAACTTCTGAAGAATAACCTCTCGTATTCCTGTCAAAGACGTTTGAAGAACAATCACTCCTTGCTCGGATGCTGCAGGAAATATTTGACTTGTGAAGAAATCTCTTCTCGGATGTTGTCCGGCACCGCAGCTATGGACAACATCAGCCATCCACCATTCCTCAGTCTTGCATTCTCACCTCTAGACTTCTGCGCGATTTCCTGCACGAGCTTAGGCACATCGATGTGCTCCAAGCTCTTGTTCTGAATAAGTTCTGCGAGAGAGTTCGTTACAACAAACTTCAGAAGTAACTTCCTAATGCTGACCTCTGCAGTAATCTTGCATTTCCTCCTCCCATCCCACCTCCTGCAAACGTTTCTTGAGGATTTCCTTGAGTCTGTCCTGCACAACAAAGCTTCACGCTTGACCGACGAGAGCCTTGCCTTGCCTTCTCTCCGGACGATTGCAGCTTCCTCTTTGCTGTCTCCACGATCTGGCAAGGGAAGAAAATGAAAAGGGGTCAAGCAAATGCTGATGTAATCCTAGTTTGTTTAGTGTGCCACTTTGATTCAAAAGCTGCAGATCTTTCAGCTCGTACACCAACGCTATATTCTGGCATCAGCTTCTCACCACCACCATCACACCATCACCATCACCATCACCATCACCATCACCACCTTCTCTTCCACCTCCCTCCCCCTCCTCCTCCTCCTCCTCCTTCTCATCATCATAGTTATCATCATCGTGTTCCAGTCCTCTCCTCCTCTCCTCCTCTCCTCCTCTCCTCCTCTCCTCCTCCTACCCGTCGCCTCAAAGCATCTTCATCGTTGCTCGCCATGGACACCAGCTTAATTTGGGTTTTGTTTAATTAATATATATTTAGGGGCACTAATATCTGTTGTTGCGCTTTTCATGACCCCTTAATTTGTCCGTAATCTTTGAAATCTAATTCCGGCTGCGCCACTTTCATGCATTGCTGCCCCTCTAGTAGGATCAGCTGTTTGTGAAAGGCCGCCTTCTCCTGCTCCTGCTCCTGCTCCTGCTCCTGCTCCCTCTCCCTCTCCTGCTCCCGCTCCTGCTCATCCCCTCTATCCCTGTTCTCACACCGAGTCTGTGTAGTTCTTTCCTCCTCCAATGTTCGACAAGCTATCGCTCCTGGGAACGCCCCAGCCTCCTCTGCTGCCAGCCTTCAATGACGATTCCTTCAAGAGGAACGTTATCCAACGGATGGAAGATACGGCCAATGTCGTGAATGCAGCTGCCAGCACTGCCAGCAAGGGAAAGAAGATCGCTACCACCTCTATGCGCTCCATTATGGAGCACCCGTGCCAGTCCAGCCCTGCGCCAGGCTGCGTGACTCCTTGAAGGAAGTTAGTTCCCTGTTGAAAGCACTGGAAGAGTGAAGGTTGCACGGCTCGCTGAGGACAAGTGATGCAGAACAATCAGTTGTGCTCGACTCTCTGTATGGTTCTTTCTTTGTGCAAAGGTACAACAAATCATTTACAAATGTACGAATATTTACACACGATGACTGTCTATACACCGACATCTCACTGCTTCAATTTCATGTGCATCATGTTCTGTAGGAATCTCGAGGATCGGCATTGTCGGCGGTATGATGTCTCCTAGAGAAGAAGTTGCGAAGTTGTTGAATCTTCTCAGTCTGCCCTGGGTTGTCACGTGGGTTGCAGCAGGTGCAGCAAACTCACCGCAGGATGACGGAGCTTCTGATGTTTCCTCTTCGGTATCCGGATGAGGAAAACAGCCTGCAGTTCACTCAGCAAGCATACAGTGCAATCTTGCTCTTGCACCGCGAAGGAGAACTTGGTCACGACATCGAGGAGAGTGAAGGAGTAGACGTTGGTAGTGAAGGTCACGATGTAAGCGCCCTCCGTGACGACCCAGACGAACGGGTAGAGGGACCACCCAACACAGATGATGAAGAAGAGCTGTGGGGCGTTCAATTCGCGTCCGCTCGCCCTCCTCCCTCCCTCACCTCATTGAACACCTTGCCCCTCTCTGCGTGCGTCTGCCGGCTGTTTGCTGCCAATCGCACGCCATTGTTAAGGGTTGTGAGCAGCAGGATGTAGAACATCATCCCAAACACCCAGTAGATCCATCGAGACGTGATGTACCGCGGCGCCTGCCAGCCCCGTCAGCTCCCTTCTCTTCACGATCATGCGGACATCCAGCGTGCTGATCTCGTCCACCCTCATCGAGGCTGCACAGAGTCCGCTGAGAATCATCAGCGAGTTGCAGGCCTGCGAGGGACTCAGCCCCGAGCTCTCCTCCTGCAGGAGCTACCATGACACGGAAGGTGATTCTCTTGTTCGCCTTGGCCACTGACCGGATGAGGAGGTAGAGCGTGATATTGGTAGAGATCATCCATTGCACGTATTTGGCATAGAAGAAGGGAGGATTGAAAGGGACCATCTGAAAGGAGGATCAGGAGAGTAGCAAGCTACTTGCTCGCCTGTACCTCGAACTTTGCCACTGCTGACATCCAAATGTACTTGACGTCTCCCGAAGGACAAGAATCGAACTTTGATCCAGTTGTAGCTGTGTTGAAGATCGTCTACAATTGCAAGAAGACGCTCAATTCGAAGAACCAGATGCGCGCAGATAAGGGGAAGGGGAAGGGGAAGGGGAAGGGGAAGGGGAAGGGGAAGGGGAAGGGGAAGCGCAAGAGCAAGAGCAAGAGCAAAGAGCAAGAGCAAGAGCAAGAGCAAAGAGCAAGGGGAACAACATTCGTTGAGCTCGCGTTCGTTGAGTTGTCAACACATGTTCGCGTGAGATTCTTTGGGTCCACCTCTGCATAGCAACCTCATCAGGAATATTGAATGCAACTTGGTGACCAAGATCCAAAACTTGAGAGGAGCATTGAAACATCGTGAGGGAGATTCAAATATCCAGCTCACCTGTGATGGCGTACTTGTAAGCTCGACCATGGCCGTTGGCCATCGTCATGTACGTGAGGGTTGTGGTGATGAACATCAAGAACAGCAAGTTGTGATCACCCTGCCGCGTCGTCCACATGAGGGAAGAGAGTCGTCAACAGTGAGAACAGGACCTGGTACTTGATCTTGTACCGATGGCGGTCAATCACGATCATGAACGATGCAACGAGAAAGAGAACAAACCCGGACCAGAGCACTCTGACTATCAGAGGGTCTATCAAGATAGTTGTGAGCAGGTTGTCAACCAACAACCTTCACCGCACCCATGTCGCTGGGCTGAAAGAAGGAGCTCGGGTGTTTGATGGCAAAGATGAGCCTGAAGGACACGTTCAGAGGAGCTCGGCTCTTGTTTTCTCTCCTCGAGTGACCTGTTGATCTCCTCCCCTAGGTTGCTCGTTGACTGGTTTGAAACATACTCGGTGACAACATTGGTGATGTTCACGACGGTGATGTTTTCAATGACCGAGGTGTTGACGGATCGCAAGAAACCATCATCGTTCCCGTCGTCCTCTTGCGGCATCATCCTCACCCCGCCTTCACCCCGCCCATTATCCTCACCACCGCGATGCGACTCACTCTGCACAAAATGCAGCGAGGCGAGCAAAATCAAACTCGCCGTCATGCATGGTCTGAAACTCCACTTTCCTCTCCATCCTCCTCTGCCTCTCGCTTCTCCTCCTCTTCCTCTTGCCCCTCCCCCTCCCTCTCCTTCTGTAGCTGCCATGAAAATTCCCTTCTTGCTACCCCACCCATCACTTGGACAAAATTATTATATCAAATGGAGGGGTAGTAGAGTGCAACAGGTGTAGGCCGAACGAAAAACCCGCACGGAACTGATTGAAGTCAGGAGGTGAGAGAAGAGAAGATCAAGAGAAGATCAAGAGAAGATCAAGAGAAGATCAAGAGAAGATCAAGAGAAGATCAAGAGAAGATCAAGAGAAGATCAAGAGAAGAGAAGATCAAGAGAAGATCAAGAGAAGAGAAGATCAAGAGAAGATCAAGAGAAGATCAAGAGAAGAGAAGATCAAGAGAAGATCAAGAGAAGATCAAGAGAAGATCAAGAGAAGATCAAGAGAAGATCAAGAGAAGATCAAGAGAAGATCAAGACAGGGCATTAGAGATTTAGAGACGAGAGGACCAGAAGACAAGCGAGACGATGAGAAGTTGAAGTAGATTGGCGTGGGGACTAAGGCGATCAGAACGAAGGTGAGGGAGCGGATGAACTCGATGATGAAGTGAGGAAGGAAGCAGCTACGAACCAGAAATACGATATGACATCAAAGACAAGGGAAGTGAAGGAGAGAGAGGATTAATACGTCCAGAAATAAGGAAGATGAACACAGGAGACGAACAGGAGAAGGAAACAGAAACACAAGACATCGATACAAAAACACCACAAGATGATGGATGTAGATGCAAAGAGGGCAACACAGACCATCAAGCAATTTTCTTCCTCTTTGATCCCTTGAACAGATCCGTAGTTGCTTCATAGTCTCATCTGTCTATATTTATCAATAGAAGTTGATGCTGACGTCATGGCTCGAGTCTCTCTTTCGCTGTCTCAGGTGATTCTTCCCACCCCTGTCGTTGAGAAACTTGGAGAAGTCTGTCTCTCCTCGGAACTCGAGCGGAGTGAACCTGCTCATCATCCTCCTAGCCTGATAGAAACCGGGTGAGAACAATCAGAACATGGGCAGGGGCAGGGGCAGGGGCAGAGGAAGGAGGTGGGGCAGAGGAAGGAGGTGGGGCAGAGGAAGGAGGTGGGGCAACGTGAGAGCTAGAGGATTCGAATGCGCAGACCGCGTAAGTGTGAGCCTGACGCTCGATGACCTCGTCCATAGGCTTGTTCTTGGCTGCTGGTATGTGTTGCATGTCGCTCAACTGAATCATCTCCTCCTCATCGAACTCTGTGTCTTTGAAGTATGCTGGTTGCGGAATGTGATGACCCTGCGTGAAGTGCTGGCTGCCCCATTGCGATGAAGTCGAGCACCCGATACCTACTTGGCTGGGCTCATCGCGTTTGAAATTCATCAGCATCTCCTCCTCGGAGATTGGCATGTTGTCGTGCAGGTCCATCTCGCTCACCACCTGTTGGACAGGATCGTTGCTCATCAGCTCCAGCATCCTCTCATCGTCGATCATCTCATCTTCCACCCATGCTGACCCTTGCAAGCTGCTCAACCTCGACGGCTCGACGGACCTTGCCTCCAGCACGCGCGCCGTCGGGAAGTTGGAGGTGGGAGGGCTGGTGGCCTTGTTCAGCATATACCAGGGTCTTTCCGTGTATTGCCGAGGACTCAAGGCGTCCAAGAAAGAAGTCAACGACTTCCTGGGGCTAGTCAGCCCATTTGTGTACTCCATCGGCCCCCCCGTCGACCAGATGGAATCGCCGGTCGTCCGTGAATCATACCTTTCATGGCTCATGTAGTTCCTAGTCGTTGTCTGCCTTCGCAGCCTGCGGAGCTCGAACCTCCTCTGCTTCCCAGTGTCGTGATAGTGCGTCTCGTTCGGCCTTCGGTGCCACCGGACCGTGCAGGAAAGTCCGTTGTCCATCACTTTACAGATCACACCGGAGTTTCCTCCCGATATCAGCCTGTTGAGGATGTCGCTCTTCCCTTCCTCTGACAACTCAACTTCTTCACCAATCCTAGCCTGACAATCTCTGCCTATGACGCCGACCTCACCATTGTTTGTGTTGTGTCCATTTGAAGAAGACAGCTTGCTTGTCTCCTTGACCGAAATGTTTTCGGCGTCAGTGATCTTCATGTAAAAGTTTTCTGCCAGATGTTCTGTCTTGTTGCTTCTTCCAAAGCCATCCTCCTCGGCCGATTCGGCCATTTCACGTCCTACAAGCTCGCTGCCACCATTTTGAAACGTACGCTGCTGCTCCTCTGACAGAAAGATGAGATCCGCGGAGATTCCATGGGTTTCAACAGATGGAGAAGTTTCACGCAGGCGCGTGCAAGGGCAGGACATCAACAACATAGTGTGCCTTCACAGATCACGGAAATCGGCTGCCGCCGGTTCAATGGCTTACAAACTGTAAACCTTTGCTTCAAATGTTCGAACTCAGCTCAGGCTACCTCGGGGTGTTCAATGGTGCTATCATCTTTCCTCTCATTCTCAGACCCTCTCTTCCTCCACCACTGGCTGCCACCGAGTCTCTGCCCTGTTCCTTGCCGCGCCGCCATGAATCGGACCGTATTCCGGCAGCTCATTTTTTTGACAAGCGACAGCGGGCCTCATCCCCCGATGATCCTCCTCCCAGGCCGGCTCCCGAGTCCGAGTCCGACTCCGACTCCCGGCCGCAGGCTCCGGCGACAACAACGGGAGTCCGTCCGATCCGTCAAGCTGAGGGCAGGGCCACTGTGACTCAGACCGACCGTACCGTACTGTCTCTGTACTACTACGACAGGATCCCTGAGTGGTGTTCACTCGTCACTGAGTCACGAGAAGAGCGGCGAACTGAGACACAGGCGATTTAATCACGGTTTTAAACAAGTGAAGCCTGGTTGAAGTTTTGACTTTGACAACGGAGGCGAAGTCAGCCGATGCTACACTTGACCGCCAGTTGCTCATTCGATCACTGCCAGCACCCAAGGCTGTCAGTTAAAACCCTGATTCGAAGAGAAGAATGGAAGCTGCAATTACAGCCATCCCGCCAAACAGAGACTTCTTCCAGACTTTACCCTCAGGATCGTACTGCAAGGCATTCGGAAGTAACTCGGATAGGGCGATGTACGTCATGATCCCGGACACAACCCCGAACAAGACGGCATAGGCCATGGGGCTCATGTCTGACCCTTTGAGGGCGAAAAAGGCCAAGAGCGCTCCGAAAGGCTCCGCAACCCCGGAGATGAAGGTCCAAAAGAAGGCCTTGAGGCGGCTGCCAGTGGCAAAATAGATAGGAACGGCAATGATGAGGCCCTGGAGAGACCAACGAGTCAGAGAGACCTGTCATTCTTACACTGCCCGCACAACAACCATCATGTTACCTCGGGAATGTTGTGCAGGGCAACTGCGAGTGCCACGCTCAACCCAGTCGAGGTGTCGGCAAGAGATGACACAAAGGTTGCGATGCCCTCTGGAATATTGTGGACCATCACCACTATTGCACTGATCACTCCCATTCGCAGCAGTTCTTGAGCCTTCTGGAGATCTTCATCAATGAGCAAGTTCTTGATTCGGGCCTCCTCTTCCGATACTACCCTACTATCTGCCTCCTGCCATCTCATCAGAAACGAGACAGGATGGTGATCATCGAATGTTACCAAATCTCTCGGATCAGGCAGCGTTACTTGCAGCTCAGGTGGCAGATCAACCAGATCAGAAGGCGCGATTTCATCGTTGCTGACTTCAGGTCGAAACCTCATCACGAAGCTTATGACGACATCAAAACCATGACATATGAGAGCCCCTCCAAAGAATACAAAGATTGCATAACGCAGAGATTCTGCTCTTGTGCATCCTGCGTCAGCAAAGCCTCCAACAGACTTGATTGTCAGAATTTCTACCAACGAAATGAATCTGCGGACACCATGAACTATTACTTCACCAGCAAGTTTTGACTGACAGGAGATGAGCAACCAGCGCACAACGAAGTCACTTCATCATGAGCTAAAACACGAGCATAAGCATCGCCATGTCTCACATCATCACTCCAGCCGATGCTGCCATGGATGCTGCGAAGAAGAGCTTGTTCTCGAGCTTCAAACACAAGGCCCCAGCCGACCCCAGGCATGTGCATGCTCCCGCAGCTGTACTGAGCGCAAATCCCAAAGCAACAGAATGCTGCATGAAGAGACTCAGCAGAGATACCATTGCGATCGGACGGTGCGTGGTTCAAGTACCTTATGCATGATCGGGAGAGATGGATACGATTTGCTCTCTTGTTGATGCGGGGCTGTTGAGAGGAAGGGTAGGAGGGGTTGATGTAGGGCTGATTGAGGATCGTGTCAAGCAGGAGGGAGAGGGGAGGACATCATGGACTCGAGGGGTTGATGTAGGGCTGATCGAGGATCGTGTCAAGCAGGAGGGAGAGGGGAGGACATCATGGACTCGAGGAGGATCAGTCTCCAGCACGAGAACCAACTTCAGTTCCTCCTTGAGGTATCTGCCAGGTATCCGCCCTCTGGTCAAATAAGTACCCTGACCACCCTATATGGGCCGTGACCTCAGTTCGGACCCACCCCCCTCTACAACCGGGTCTATCTCTTACCCCCACCCCTCCTTCTTTCCATCCTACAATTTGGCAGGAAGCTGACTGGGCATGATCCGGCTCAACCATTATTGTCTCTAAAGTTTTACTCATTGAAGTTAAGTAAACTTTTTGAGCCCGGCCGCACCCCGGCGGGCACCCCGGCGATGATCCGAGTCTTCGGATTGACGTGGCCGTCAGCCGCACGGGCTCAGGCTGCCGAGGCTCCCGGGACGTCTTGAGCCTGAGTTGGTCACTGTCAGCAGTGCGACGCCCTCTGGTCAAACTTGAATTTTCCGAAGTTCCCTTTACTTGAAACTCTGCACAGCTTGCCACGTACTGCTCTTCCGAACTTTGAGTAAAGAGGGCCACTGTGAGTCACTTTCAGTAACTTCAAGCCTTTGACTCAGTGAAACAGTGAAACTTCCGGCCCTGCCGAATGAGCCCGGGCCTCACTGCCAGAGTCCGCCGGGGGGCCGACGATGCGGCCGGGCACTCCGACAGCTGAGGGTACCCGGCCCGGCGGCGTGGCCCGGCCCGGCCCGTGAGCCGCCCGGCGTGGCCCGGCCCGGCCCGTGAGCCCGGAGTCCGATCGGTCGAATGGTTTCAGGGGCGCATCCAGGTAGATTGTAGGGTGGGGTAGGGTCAGTTGGTCATAATAAGGTACCCACCGTGATGGTAGTGATAGAACGATAGGTCATATTACGGTAGGGGTATGACAAAGGCAGACTGAGGGGTAGGTCGTGAGGTTCGAGGATTTGGGGGGTGGGGGTCTCAAAGTAGGGGTTGAAAGAAGGGGAGAGGTGAAAAATTTGAGGGGAATTTGAGTAGGACTGAGGGGTGGGGTAGCTGTCAAGGTATTAGGGGTGGGGTGGGGGAAAAATGGCGAAGCGAAAGCGACGGAAAACAAGCATGAGGCGAGGAGGAAGAGGAGGAGGATGAATCGTGAGCTGAGAGAAGGAGATTGTAGGGAGACAAGTCAGTGAAGGATTGAGAAGGAAAGAACAGTTGAAAAGGGGGCGAAAGAAGTGTAATTATGGAGGGATGTAGCAGCTAGATAAAATAAAGGCGATTCTGCGTTGTGCAGAATAACGATGCCTACAGCGGAGAAGAAAAGCGCAGCACCGAACATAGAAACACGTCCAAGGTTGTGATAAAGTTCTTGGAGAGGAGTTTGATAGACACAACAGAAACTAGAGGGATGGGCTCATAGATATAATTCGGTAGTAGAAGGCAGATGCTCGGTGTGAGAGAGTGTAGTCGGGCAAGTTAGCACGAGAGGGGAGGCCGAAGGCGCGCGATGAAGTATGCATGCACTAGAGCTCGAAGTTTCGAAGATGATGCCTTCAATATTTTCATAGGATCGAGGTGTTGACGATCTGATCTTGCATTCACTCCTGCTGATGTCAGGTAAAGGTGATTGTAGTGGTTGGAAATGTTGAGGAAGCCGCTCGAGCGAGGAATACATGGGCGCAGATGGCTAGTTGCTTCTACACAGCAGCTGAACGCAGGGATGGGGAACACTTGCAAGAGATGCTTTAGCGTAGAGGGGGCCGAGACCGAGGAGGATGAGCACGAGATCTTGTTTTTCTCACTGCGACATGCGGCGACCGTCACTCTCAAAGAGATGCATCAGTTTGGTGCTCAGGTACTGCTCTGAACCAGCGTCTCCAGTTACTTGACCGTCCCTTTGACCTCTTCTCCCAAGGCGAACAACAAGCGGGCGCTGCTGCTGGCAGCTCAGTTCCTTCATGAAGAGCTCCCTATACGCCTAGCAAGGAGAGTGCGAGAGTTGAAGAAGTTGCCGTTCGGACTCGGGGAAACAGCTGCGATGACGCAGGTTGGGAGCGTTTGACGGCAAGTGTGCATGAGATGACGTGGATGCAGGTTAGAAAGCTGTATGAGAAGAGCTTCTTTCAAATACGACGAACACCAACACCCAAGACTTTAGAGATCGAAGAGAATTTCACACAAGTGACCGAGACAGGCTGAGCGATGATGCAAGTTGATCGTATTGCATCTCACCAGGTTCTGGACCGAATGATGTCTGAGCACAACAACGTTCAAGCGACTGTAGCGCGTGGGTTGCAGGTTGCTGCCCTCCCTCAACTTGAAGATCATTCGCTCTCTTCGTCTTGTTGATGCATGGAGGATGCAAGTGATGTCATCTGACTTGCAGTCTGCAGGAACTTCTCACGCGTGAGGGAGACTTTGCGATGTGAGCTCGCGTTTGGCCTCGCTTGACCTGCTTCTCACTGCTCCCCCACCAGGCATCAACGCGGGATCATCAGTCGCGAGCACATCCCGGGCAGCATCGCCTCCTTCGACTTCGGCCAATTCCTTGACAGGTGGAGGAGAGCAGGAGGTAGTTTGCGGGCCTCATGGAAAGTTGCAGATTCTACCTCTCTAGGGTTGGGATGCGGGTGCTGGTGGGGCAGCACATTATGCTACATCATCCTCAAGATGGTAATGCTGGCGCTCGTTTTGCTCCCCTCCTGCCCCTGATCGCCCTCAGGCTTCATCGGCATCATCCAGACGGAATGTCAACCGGCCTTTGTATGCAGCCATGCCATCCAGGATGCTCAGGTTGCCGCTCCTCCTCCTGGGGGCGGCTGACGCAGGTGGTTCCAGCACATATGCCAGCTGAGCTATGGAGTTGCCCCAAACGTTCAGATGGAAGGATCGATTGACATGAAGGTAGGAAGCAGCTAGGGTCTGCCTGCTGAGCTCACCTGAGTCTCCAGCTGCCTTACATCCCCGAACATCTTCATTACATCTTCTTCGAGCTCCTCAAGAACTCCATGAGGGCGGTGAGACGCACTCCTCCCCTCCTCTCCCCTCCTCTCTTTCCTCCTCTCCTCCTCCCTTCCTCTCCCCTTCACCCCTCTCCTCTCCTCTCCTCTCCTCTCCTCTCCTCTCCTCTCCTCGCCTCGCCTCGCCTCTCCTCTCCTCTCCTCGCCTCGCCTCGCCTCGCCTCTCCTCTCATTGGACACGGTTGCCTTACGTCGTGTGATTGCAGGTGGTTGAAAGATACAAGGAGGAGCAACCAAACAAGCATTGGACAGCAGTCAGTCCTTCCCTTATCATCTGCTACCCTTCTTCCCTCCCTCCCTCCTTCGCTCCCTCCCTCGGCTTCAGCTTGTTTAACCTGCATCGTCTCTCCTCAACTGAGACTGTGGCAGGACGAGTTACCTCCCGTCAGTGTGGTGTTTGCAGAAGGCGATGAGGTGAGCAGAGCTCGAGGCGAGGAGCACGTGACGTGCTCCATAGGACATCGCCATCAAGATCTCAGACAAGGGAGGAGGAATCTCTCGTTCGGGCATGGAGGTCTACATTCCCGTCCCTCTCTCCTTGTTGCATGCTTCCTGCTCTCCTCCCGCCTCCCTCTCCCCCCTTCTCCTCCTCCCCACTTCCTCATCCGCTCACACTCGCCCACTTCTGCAGCGCTTGTGGACGTACTCCTTCACCACAGCGGGGAAGACACGGGAAAAGCTCCATCAGCTCGAGCATGACGACAAGCCCGTCATGGCTGGTGCGTCGGACCGCGCCTCGTCCTTCCCTGATGCCCTGCCGCAGGGTTCGCACATGGACTGCCTCTAAGTCGCATCCATGCCCGAGCATTCGGAGGAGACTTACAAGTGATGTCGATGCAGGTAAGCGCTGAGGGACAGGAGGGAGGAGGGAGGATGGGAGGAGGGAGGGAGGGAGGGAGGGAGGAGGCAGGAGGGATAGAGGGAGGGAGGAGGGAGGCGGAGAGAAGGGAGAAGTCGATTGGTAAGGGAGAAAAATTCACGCATGTGAAGAGATAGGGCAGAAGGACAAGAAGCAGCACAGGACATTGACAGGTTCACAGGGGCATGGAACGGACGTGTACATTTACTTGTGGAAGCTGGGAGACCGAGAAGTCTCAGTACCTTGAGGATCGACGTGTAGCACTTTGATTTTCCTCTCTCCTTCCTTGCATATAAGAAAAAACTGCCTCCTTGCTCTACAAAAGAATAATCGAAGCTGCTAGCCGTCATCTAGTCCTGTTAGACACGTGAGGTTTGGAGGGCAGAATGAGGTCGAGGAAGGGAGAGGACGGGAGGGAAGGCTAGAAGAAAGGGATGAGGAGAGCAAAGAAGTCGAAGAAAGGGAGGGGAGAAGGACATCAAGTGTGGAGCAGAATAACGGACGAGACGAGGCAACAGGGATCAAGTCAGGTTGACAATACCTGTGGGACACTCATGTCCGCGTAGAATTCGCTGAAGTCAAGGCGGAAGTTCAGACTTCGCAAGTCTGCGCTCTTGGTAGAGCTCAGCATGTCCCTCAACAGGCTGAAAGACTCTGAGAACTGTCCACTTGTCAGTAGGAAGCCTCCCAACCTTCTCGCCCTCACCTCCACGGCCTTACTCTCGATCTTGCATGTCAACGTGGCCGGGACTGTCAGCTCAGACTCGTCATCTCCTGCTTCCTGCTGCTCGTGCCAGTCGTGATCCGCATCCCTCGTATCCACCGGGCAGAGCATCAGCCCATTTCTTTCCAGCTTCCTCTCCGCAAAGTCGCAGATCTGTGAGTGGATGAGACCTCCGAGGTTGAGGAGAGCTGGGAAAGGCACCTGCTGCTGTGTGAAGCAGTAGTCGAGGATGCACTTGAACACTCGATCCATCTGCTTCTTCTCCGTCTCAGAGTCTTCCGTCAGGAGCGCACGCTCTAGAATCTTGTCGACATAGCTGTTGTCGAAGCAGTCAACAACGGGAGACAACGGCAGGTCAATCTGAGCAACCGGTTGTGAGATGCGATGAGCTGGTCGACATCCTGTACGCTCTGTAACAGAGTGTCAGTGGAAACCTCGAGGAAGAAAGGGATGAAGAGGACAAACCAACCACCTGAAGCTCTTTGTTCAACTCTTCCCACGAGCATTCGAGCACTTCAAACATCATGTAGTACTGCAGGTTGGTAATGAAGTGCATCATCTGGTGGTGGATCCACATGTTGGAAGCCTTGTACACCACAGCCTGTCCGGGAGGAAGTCAATCATGCTCATTTCTCTCTGCCTCTCCTCACCAGCGCAAACTTCTGCAGCTCTCGATGAGCATCACGATCTGCCCCGCGAACCTGAAGGGGAAACTCAAGTCAGCAAGGAACTGAAGTTTGCACGTCCTCTATCACCGTCACGTTGTGCGTTCCGATGTGGCAGAGTTCACTCGCTCGCCTCCAAGATGTACTCAGCGCCTGCGCCACGTCACTCGGGTCACACGTCATCCTCCCAGTCACCTGCTCCACTCTCTTGAGGCCCCAGAGGAAGTTGAAGACTCTCTTGTACTTCCGCATCGATCTTTCGGTTATCACCGCATTACAAGGAGTGTCCAGCTGGTGGAATCAGCATTAGCATCCGAAGGGAAGTAGAATCGAGTTCTTACCTTGTACTCCAAGCTGAAGACACTGAAGAGATCGTCTCCTCCAGTCGCCTCCATGGTCGATACGTGAACTCTCTCTCGGACATCTCCATCGTCCGTCTGCGAGGCTCTCAGCAGAGGTCCAATAAGTGTGAAAAATCATTCCTGGGATGAAGACGCTCGGATAGCAGTCTCCACGATGCCAGTTAAGTTGTGATGATGCACTGTCGATGCTCCAGGGCGCACATTGTCGGCAAGAAGATCGATTAGGTAGCGCACAAAATCTCCCTGCTCAAAGTGAGGAAGAATGTGTATGAGAGCTTCTCATCACCTGGCCGAAGAGAAGATATCTCTTGATGGCCTGCAGGTGATCACGCAACCTGTATTGATGGAATAACGCAGACAGAAGAGCCTTGTTGGCCAAGTCGGCATGAGTGCCCACAACATCTTCTAATTCTTCCCACTATGGCTCTGACGTTAGACGATGGGAAAGAATGGTGGAGATTCACCTGCCCGTACTCTATGTCTTTCATTCTATCAAGTGCATTGGAAGCTTCTGTCACATACTCGATGTCCCTGCAGCATTTTCGGATGAAATTGATTGACTTTCCTTTAGGACCGTAAGGGAACACAAAAACATTATGAATTTTGTACCGATCTGAAGGATTTTGAATGCAAGTTGCTCACTAACAAAAGATGGGATCATATCTGGTCGTAACTTGTACTTGTCCTGTGATTCTGGCTCAATGCATTGGAAAACAAACGAGGCATGAAAACCTCCCAATGATGTTCCAGCTTGTTGTAGTCGTTCTCGATAAAGAATTCGTTCCAGGGATCCTCCACCTCGCCATCCGAAATCCATTTCCGAATCTGCTGCAAGATAGGGCGGCAGACTGGTTTCAATATCTGGAGGAGAGAGTCAAGGAAGGAGCACAAACCCATCGTACTCATTACCCTCTTCATCAATTGTTGGACTGCAGGATCCCCGTGTCGCGCATGAACACTGATTGCGCTTGCCAGCTGCCCGCCCTTGAGAGGAGACAGGAACGAGCCAGGCGTCGCTGCTGCTCCTCCTCCTCCTCCTGCCACTGAAGAAGAGGATCCAGAACTTTCCAAGAGTGATCGTGAGGTCTGGCCAAGTCCCATAGCGGCGTCGCAAAGTAGAGCCATCACCCGCAGCCTAGCGATGGGCTCCTGGACCCAGACAAGAAGCCGACGGAGGGTCAAACCTTGACGGTGCTGTTGATAATCTGCATCAGTGTCCGACTGCTCGATTGATTCTTGTTTTGACAAGTTAAGTTGATCATCGGCCACATGAGATTGCAGGACGGCAACAAGCTTGAAGTACTCGATAAGTTCAGCTTGCAAGCCAGTTATCAGACCCTGGCCAACAAGTCCTATGCTCTTGCTTGTAGACCAGTGTGCGTTGAACGCAGATATCTTCCTGTACAGCCATCCACTTTCACAGATGCGGCGAATCAAGTCTCGAGTGGTAGCTGGGACTCCAAAGCTGCGATCGACCGTGTAGCCATCTAATTGCTACATTGGATTAGCAAAAGAAGTTATGATCAATCCATACCTTATCAAATCTGACGTATTTTCCCTCTATTCCTTGCATTGCAAAGATTACATCTTTGACGAGAACGACTTCTGGTATTTCGAAGGAAGTGTTTGGTTTCAGAGTTTGAGCTGCCTTTCTCGTTTGTTGGTTTGTTGCGTGTTCTGACAGACCAATTCTGCTCAACGTGATGTTCAAATCTGCTGCTGGGTCCAAGATTCCTGCTCCACTTTTCTCTTCTCCATGACGAATCGCACTTACAAGCGGAATAGATATTAAGTCTTTCGCATCTTTTGAATTTCCGAGTGAATAGAGAAGAAGTAGAATCCCTGACCTGCAATCATCAAATTCACGATCGTGAAAATTGAACTGTCAGATCTGACATACCGATTCGATATCACTCTCTTCTGTGAGAATCTTCTATACAACTCAGAGAATTTAATAGATTTCTTTGAACCATCTGACCCCGAATTCACAAAACTCTTTTTGATCTTTTCGACCAACTGCGGTAAGGCGGATCAGGTGAAATGCTCAACGCCCATGCAACTTGACCTGAAATTCATCTAATTCCTGAGAAGCTCCAGCGATGCGACTGCCTAGTAATCGGAAAACATAAACCAGCAGTTCTGACTTTTGTTTTTCATTTATTTTCACATCGACGATTCTTTCAATCAGTCTCCCTGAGAGAACGTCAGGCACATGTGGTAGGGACATCTTGACATTCAAAGAGAATGATCTGACCGAGTGGCTCTGCTTGAGCGCCTCCTTGCATAGGAGCATGACTGTCATGGATGTGCTTGGAGCCCTTCACAGGGAAGGCGTCTTGTTTGTTTTCTACTGGAACTTCGGCTAGAGCTGCTCTTCCATCGTTCAAAGCTCTTAGTACATCGGACATTTCAAACCCGTTCTGTCATGCAAGAAGTCATGGCACTGATCAAGATCATTGCAGACACGCAGGTACAGTTACGACAATCTTCAGAAAATACGCTGATAGCATCGTTCAAAACCAATTTGATGTTCACAATCTTGATATCATCACACATGAGCTTCTCCCCTATCATGACCGACTCTCTCCTCTTCCCTCCTCTTCCTTCTCCTCTCTTCTCTCCTGTAGTATCTCTCCATCAACTTTCTGTCATGTGGATTTTCGCCATCGGCACAGGCTCAATTGGCGGGAAAAAATAGGGGGATGAGGGCTATCAGGGACTGAGGGGGATGATTCAGGGGATGATTGGTGCACGAGTGGGGATGAGGGTAAATGTAGTTGAGTAATCGCAGTGCGGGACAGGTGTACGGCCATGGCGGATGCGATGCAGGTGGATGGAGCGAAGGAGGGAGCGAACCCGGTGAAGGTGAAGGCGGACGACGATCCCGAGGCTGAAGGAGAATGGATGAGGCTCTCCTTTATCCGCTTCAAGCTCACCAGGTCTTCCTCTTGCTCCTTGATTCCCCGGTTGAGATGCGATATGGGCAGTCCGAAATGTCCGCCAAGTGCGAAGGATGCTCTGTGGGCTGACTTCATGAAACTCGTCGAGAGATTCAGTGAGCTCCTCTATCTCATATGTGCATCTTTTTTCTTACTTGTTCGCCAGATTCCGTCGCTGTGTATGAAATCACATGCCAAGAAACTGGTCGGAAGATCGATTCCTCTCTTGTTGCCAAGATGAAAGCTGAGAATGAGAGAAGGCTGAAGGAGGTGAAGAGACTAGAAAATGTTGGAACATTCCTTAGTCGTTCTATTAGGTGGATGATGCGATCAAGGATGCGCAAGAGAATGAAGGGGACATGGAAGTGCGCGATGGCATGATGGCTAAGGCTCAAGTCCTTGCAAGAACCGCAACTAAGGAACTTGCTGCAAATGCGTACGATGAGGCCGAGAAGTATACACAACGATCTGGTTTTGTTATTTTCCGATATTTAACTTGGAATCACAGGTTGCCAAAAACGACTTCTGGTCAGAAGCTTGACGTTCGCTTCCACCTGATGCGAATCGGCATGTAAGATGCGTTTTTCCTACGTTTTTAGAAAATTATTTTGAATTTGCCCTAAGGTTCTGGGGGGACATCTACATGGTCGAAACCCATGTCAAGGTTTGCAAAGAGCTGGTGGACAATGGAGGTGATTGGGAGCGAAGGTCAGTCAAAGCTGCAAGCTCCTCTTGTGTTCTTGGACAGCTGATTTGTTTGCTTTTGATAGAAATCGCTTGAAAGTATATGAAGCCAGCTACCTCATATCCATTCGAGATTTCAAAAGAGCAGCAACTCTTCTGTTGGAATCCATCTCAACCTTTACTGCTGTGGACCTCTACTCTTACAACCAGGTATTGCAAATATTCAAATCTTCTTACCAGCCCTGAGTCATGACGCGATGTTCTTGCAGTTGTTTCTACACAGTCGTGTGTGCAACCATCGCTTGTGATAGAAAAACTATCAAAGAGAAGGTCATCCATGCACCGGAAATCTTGCAAGTGATTGCCAGCAATCCTGCCCTTGAGGTGATTCACCGGGATCATTCTGCAGATCCCGATTGCCTGACTGGTTTTCAATGCAGAAAATGATCAATTCTCTGTACAAATGCCTCTACAAGGACTTCTTCGTTGCGCTTGTCGACATCGTCGATCAACTGTTCTTGGATCGCTTTGTCTGCTCTCATGCAAGATATTTCCTCCGTCAAGCTCGCGTTGTAGCTTACACGCAGGTCTTGACCTTCCCTTCATCTCTAGTCGTCCAGATTTTTTGACATCTGCTTGCAGTACCTGGAGTCCTATCATACTGTAGACATGGCCTCCATGTCTGCAACTTTCGGGGTCGGTTTGAACTTTCTTGACAACGAATTGAGCGACCTTGTGGCTTGTGGTCGTCTGAGGTGAGAGATGGATATGGTGCTTGGTTGAGAGCTGATAGATTGATGTCAGTTGCAAGATCGACAAGGTGAAGGGGGTTGTATGCAGCAACAGACCCGACAGGAAGAACGCCCTTTACCAGCAAACGATCAAGCAGGGAGACTCCTTGTTGAATAGAATCCAAAAGCTCTCTCGAGTTATTACGATCTAAAACTTGGTGGTTATTTCAAGATTGTATCAGTTTCAGTTTAATGAAGGGATGGAAACGACAGAATAATCTTGGCGCATGAAACTCAAATCAGAGCTTCACACTCAGGAATTCAGTCAACATTTGATCCAAATCATCTTCTTGCTGCCATCCAAACTTTGCGACGCCGTAAGCAACTGCCATGCCCAAGGAGAAGCTCAACATGATGGGAACAGCGCGTGCCTGCAGAGAAGCCAGACCCACACGCCATCTAGGAACCCCAAGCCCTCCTTGCTCCTGACTCAATGCGGAAGAAACGCTTGCTTGCTTGACTTGCGGCTCCGGTCTCGGATGCGGTGGAGCCACTGGATCGGCGGGAGGACGATTGTCCTGCCTCGTCTCCTCCATGGGTTTCACGGGTTCCACTGCAGGGACTTGATCCTCTTGTCTCTGTTCTGGCTCCCGTTCAAGACCTGAAGGAGTTGGAGCTTCCGTTGTTGGTGCTTCCTCAAGCTCCTGTGCCGTAAACGACGCAACTTCCCCTCCATCCTTCTGCTCTGCCGCCAACTGGCCCCCCTTAGGTGTATCATCCACGGACAAAGCTCCCGTCGCAGGGTCCGCTGCATCGCTGCCTCCTCGAAGATGCCGAGCCCTGTAGCTGCTTCGTTGCAGGGTCATGGGGGAAGGATCCCGCGGAGCCAAGTGTAGGAACGATCGATCCAGCGAGCACGAGCAATCACTCGCTAGGAAGACGACGACAACGAGAGCAGAAAACCAAAGGATGGAGCAGCGCAGCATACTTCTGGTATGAGAGGGCTGCGGGGTGAGTGTTACTTTGAGGCAACGATGAAGCGCACGGGGGGTTGAGGATGGGATTGGAGGAGCGGCGGCAGTAGGAGAGGAGGAAAGGTGTTATGACAGAAGAAGGAGGGAGGGAGGAGGACGAGGACGAGGAGGACGAGGACGGGAATGGAGAGAGGGAGCGAGGGAGCGAAGGCAAGTTCGGTTCAGCGGACAACGAAACGAAGGGGAAGTGCTTTAGAGGGGTAGAAGGGTACTTTTTAGGGGAAAGAGGGGGTGGGGTAGGACATCCAGGCAGAGGACGGAGTGTGTCGGCCGAAAGTGCTGGCGAAAAATTACGAAAGCAGCAGCAGCAGCAGCAGCAGCAGAAGCAGAAGCAGCAGCAGCAGGATGGTCAGAAAGGGCAAGGACGGAATGTAGAAGCGAAAGAAGAGGCAGGGATTCAGCAATCTGCTGCCATGTCGCCATCACGACGCTTCTTGCTGCTGTGGTTGATCGCAGCATTGAATGTCAGCCTCGGCCAGGTGTCTGTCGTGATATCCAGTTTCAAGCAGAAAAGATGTCTTGGGTGGCAGATAGAACTCTTCCTGGCTTGTCCTATCGTGACGCATATTCATGTTAATTGGTTCGAACCTAACGGCCCAGCGCCCAACAACACGAGCAAGATAAGTTATGATGTCCTCCCGGATCGGATATCATTTCGTTTCTTTCCTCGCAAGTTCAAGACGCAGGCTGTCTTCACCACCGACGTGGACGTGTTCACCTCATGCTCCGCGCTCAAGTTTGCATATGAGATTTGGATGAGAAACAAGATGGGGGTCATAGCGTTTCATCCTCGCAACCTCCGAACCAACGGAACCGAGATCTGGGATGAAGGTTCCTCTTGTGTTGGAGGTTGTGTGCTGAGGATAAGGTGATGTGACAGGTTATTATCATCCTTACCGACACAACACAGCATACGTGACAAAAGGAGCTGTGATGCATCGTAAGCTGTTCAAGTTTTTCTTCTCCAGGGAATATGAGGCGGCCAGAAACCTCGTGGACAAACATGTGACAGGAGAAGACATGTTGTTTTCATTCATGATGGAGATTGATCCAAGAGTTCATGGGGTGCAGGTGAGTTTTCAGCAATGATCCGCCTTGTTGCAACCTCAGCTTGTTGGGCAGATCGCTTGTCTGGAATGGAAGCATGCCTGCCACGTAGATTGCATACAGAACTCTGTGCTCCCCCTTGGGCTCCGGACGCATTCCTTCAGGGTTTCTGTACTCAGACAGCTGTTCGAGATGTTTGGCAATCCATTTATTGAGTACTCGGGGAAGGAGCAGTATGTCTGGGCGAGCGACAGGGATGCTGAAGCTGCCTCTCCTGTCTGCCGGTCCATCAACAAGGTTTATGGCCCCAACACTCCACCGTGCAAGGAGTTCTGTAGAAACAATCCAGTGTGTCCCGAGCATTCGACTTGACGATCCTGCAATCCTTGTGTGTCGATCGGCTTCTTGTCACCATGGCTGACAAGTCGTCGTGGTATCTACTGATTGATCTCGATACAAATCTCTAGGCTATCACATATCTCACGAATGTACTCTACACACTCTTCTGACAGCCCATTCCCAGAAAGATTGACGTACTCTACCTGCCTGTTGACCAAAACCTCCTCAACAAGATGCTCTCCTCCCCTGTCTCCCAGCATGTTCCCTGCCATACCAAGACTTTTAAGGCCCTTGAGATGCCGCGGAATTGCAGAGATCAGCTGCTGCCCTCCCACAGCCCCGAGCTGATTGTGACTGAGGTCCAGGGACGTCAAATTGCTGAAGGTATCGAGGCAACTACACAGACAGATGGAACCTACCGGGCCCAAGTCGTTGAGAGCCAGGTCGAGGGCCGTCAGCCTACTCATCCGTGCGAAGTTTGTGTTGGCCAACGCGATCATGCCCTGCTGTCCTATGAAGTTTCTCGAGAAATTGAGGTGCTCCAAGGACTCCAGGCTTGATAAGGAACGAGAAAGGACCAGGATTTCCTCCGCCTTGAGGCTGAGGCTCGAGAGTCCCAGCCACACCAGATGCTTCAAGGAAGCGAGCCCCACAGCGAAGAGCGTCAAGAACTCTGAACCGCGGGCGGTTTCGCTGAGATCGAGCTCTTTAAGATGGGTTATCATGGGAAGATTGAGCAATGCCGGTAAATAGATTTCCATGCGGTGCATACCACCAATTTTCAGGCTCTCCAGTCCATTTCGATGATCGACCAATCCTGTCAAGTTCATGATGAAGTACCCATCAATACAGTTACAAGACAAATCCAAGCAGCGGATGGATCTCAGTTCGGACATTGCTGATAGCACCTGCATCAGCCCGAAGTTTTGGATGTCGTTGCCATGCAAGTCAAGCTTCTGAAGGCTCACCTTGTTCGCCAGACACGGGCTGAAAATTCCCATCCCAAGGGGTCCCAGTCGGGCGTTTCTCAGACTGAGGGACATCAATGTAGAGTTGCTCATGAGCGCTTCACCTACCATCTTCCCTCCGTTGAACGACAGCGCCAGGTCGTTGAGAGATAACACCGTCAAGCTTGAGTTCAAGTAGATGATCCGTCCCAGGCTCGATGCCCCTCCCTCATCCACCCCAATGGAATGTAGCGTGAGGGATCGCAAGACTCCTCCTCCTTCACAGCCAGCCGCCAGCAGCTTCATGCCAGAGTTGCCCAGCGGAACATTGACAAGGGAGAGCTCAGCTATGCTCGGGCTGCTGTGGAGCAACTCCGCAACTAGCGGCAGCTGGACGTCCGGAGGGCAGGAGAAAAAGTCCAAACTCAGGGAGCCGATTCTCGAGAAACCCCTCTGAGTCTCCATGTGTATCCGCTCCAACACTGTGTGGAAGATGGAGCTGTCAAAGTCTCGACGCCCATGGCGAGTCCTGATCTCCGCTACTTGGAAGGAGACCAGCCCGTCGACTTGATGGATGCAAGGTGGAACGGCTGGAACGTCGAAGCCTTTGATGGCTCTGAACTGCAGGACATGGGGTAACAATCACCGCGGGAAACAAGAGAGGAGGATGACAAGGACGAACCTCGAACTTCAACTTGTCCTTCTGAGGTTCTTGGAGACTATCCCGAAGGCTCTTGCTCACTCCTCGCCCCAGCTTTGTTCCGGCCTTGAGCCACACTCGCTCTGCACTATCGCCCAGTCCCTGCAATCCTATTCTAGCTTTGATGGCTGCCTCTTCCATAACGTCGCCTCTACTCATGTCCTACTCATCTCCCTTGCTTCCACCGCCACAATGCCAGTGACAAGATACCTTTCTCTCACTTTGTTCCAGCCTCTTGCCTCTTTAACAATCTACCAAGTCTTACCTTTGTAATACCAATACTCAGCTTCATCTCGTTATGACCTACTCCTGCTCCTCTCTTCTTTCTCTCTCTCCCTCTCCCTCCCTGCCTCCCTGCCTCTCCTTCCATCGCCGTCGCTCTTTCTCGGCCCCAATTCCTGGCATCGGGCGCATCGGATGCCCAATAAGGAGGATTCGATAATAGGATCTATAGTCAACATTATTGACTACTGCAGGCTGTCGTAGCAGGGTCTTTGTAGTCAAGTGGAAGGGGGATATAGTCAAGTTGGGGAGGAACAATGGCGCCGGGTGGGCTGTTTGTGGATCACAAGAAGGGGGAGGTGACGGAGATGAAGAACAAGCTGAGAGACTCGAGCATCGACAAAGTGAGACGAACATGCTCTCCCCGATGCCGCCGCCTGCTCCTCTACAGCTACCACTTCCCTGTGCCTCCTCCTCTCCTTCCTTCCTTCTCCTCCGCGCTCCTGCTTCCATCCCCTCCTTCGTCGTCTCTGCCGGGTTTCCCGCCTTGCATATCTTGTCTTCTTGCGAACTTTGATCCTGTCCATATCCTCGTTCGATCGGACACCTCAATCTGTCCTCACTCTCCACCAGGATCCCAAGCAGAAGCGCGCTATCATGGAGCGGGTCGTAGGGTACATGACTCTTGGGATCGGTCGATGCCATGTTGCTCTGCAGCTGTTGAGCGCTTATGTTGATGCAGACATGTCGCCATTGTTCAGTGAGATGATCATGGCCACGGCCACTAAGGATCTGGTGCAGAAGAAGATGTGTTACTTGTAAGTATCTGTTAGAATCTGTTACATGGTCTTTGTTGATGCCTGGTGGAAACTCGATAGATACTTGTCGAACTATGCATCCATGCAATCAGAGATGGCTCTTCTCGTCATCAACACCTTGCTCAAAGACTTCCATGATGAAGATCCCATGGTGAGAAAGATTTTCTGCAACAACAGCAACATGAGCTCCTTGGAACTGACGAACCTGTCTGTGAAGGTTCGGGGCCTCGCCCTTCGCTGCCTCTGCTCCCTACGAGTCAACAACATCTTAGAGTATTTAGTCGATCCCGTCGTCAAAGGTCTGCAGGATGCCAGCCCGTACGTCAGGAAAACAGCTGTCATGTGCGTGTTGCGAATCCGCGATCTGTCCGAGGACATCATACCCGATCGACACCTGGTATGTTGAGAACGTCTAGTGAGGATGAGAGCTGAGAAGTCAAGATAGAATGGAGGAAGAGAGAGGATCAGAAAAGGAGAAAGGAAGTGAGGAGAGGCAAGGGTGGGAGCTACAGAAACACTGACTTGGAGCATCAGGTACATCAGATTTTCAATCTTCTCAACGATAGGGATCCACAGGTCAGAGCAGGGGACGACGTGAGTGTTCGTGTAATGGCATGTCCTGCAGGTAGTTGCTAACGCCGTCAATGCTCTGCTGGAGCTCCAAGGCCGAACAGGGTTGTCGCTGCTGATCGGAAACAAGAACATCATCATTCGGCTTCTCCAAAGAATAAGAGAATTCAACGAGTGGAGCCAATGCCTGATACTTGAGGTCATCGCAGAGTTCAAGGTGACCATGGAGATTGCGCGCTGCCGATGGAACGACTGACAAAGAACACGTTGGCACTCTTCTTGCAGCCCAACAGCGACGATGAGCGCTTTGAAATCATGAATTTCCTGGATGAACGATTGAGCCATGGGAACTCTTCAGTCGTGCTGGCGACAGTGAAGGTGTTTCTCAACTTGACTCAGGACAGGTTCTTTTTGCCAGCAGCTTCACCCTTGTCTCTGACCGAGCTCTCACCCCAGACCAGAGCTGCAGAAGCAAGTCGTGCAGCGAGTGAGGAGCCCTTTGATCTCGCTGATGACAGGAAGCAGCCCCGAGGTAGAGGTCGAGAGGAGGACGTTGGGTGTGGCCGACGTGCGATGACAGGTTGCGTTCGTTCTTATGAAACACATCATTATCCTGATCAAGGTCAGTGCCCCTGTTCTCCTTCCCTCAATCAATTCTCCACCTGTATTGTCGTTCTCCTCTCCTTGTCTCTCTCCCATCTCCTCTGTCGTCTTCCTCTTTTCCCTTACATCCCTTCTACTTCCTTGCTTGCCCTTCTGCTTTTGACTACCCTCGCCTTAAACTTCCGCTTCTCGTTCCTCTCCTTCTCCCCTCCCCTCTCCCTCCTCACGCATCTCTTTTCTCTCCCCTCCCTTCTCTTCCCTCCCTCCTCTCTCCTCTCCCCCAACTCTCCTCTTCGCTCATGAATTCTTCTTCTTCCGCTCACTTCCCCCCAATCAGCTTGCACCTGGAGCCTTCGACGACGAGTATACGTCCTTCTACGCCAGATACAGCGACCCGCAATATCTTCAGGTCTAGAGGAGGAGGAAGAAAACTTCAATGGTGAAGAATCTGACGGAAGAGAATCAGAATCTCAAGATCAAAGCTCTCTCGCTGGTCGTCAACCTCAGCAACTTTATCTCCATAGTGGACGAGCTTGGGTCGCTCGTCAGCTCCTACTACCCTGCTCTCTCCAAGGAGGTGGCTCTCCTCTACCTGTATCCTCTTGTCTCGTTGACACTTGTCGTCCTTTCCTACTCCTCCCTATCTCACCCTCAGGCTCTCCGAGCGATGGGCGATATTGCCGTTAGACTTCCTCGTGCAGCTCCTCTCGTTTCAGACAAGATTGTTGTCCTTCTCCGCAGAAACGATCCCGTGGTCGCCAATGAGTGTATAGCTGTAGCCCGGGACATCCTTCGCAAGTATCCTCCCCTCTCAGCCATTCTCCTGCAGAGCTTGACCGAGGCTTTCTACGAAGTCAAGGTAGGAAGGAGGACAAGATCATAGCAGCAAGGGAGCTGACGGTGTTGTGCTCCCTCAAGGAGGACGATGCGAAGGTCTCGCTGCTGTGGGTCCTCGGTCAATTTGGCAATGACATCCCAGAAGCCCCTTACCTTATCGAGCCGATGATCGACGAGTGGGAGGTAAACTCTCCTACTACTCCTACTCCTGCTCCTGCTCCTGCTCCTGCTCCTGCTCCTGCTCCTGCTCCTGCTCCTGCTCCTGCTCCTGCTCCTGCTCCTGCTCCTGCTCCTACTCCTACTACTCCTCGTTTTCCTCCTTCACTTGCTCCTGTTCTTCCACCTCCTTCCACCTCCACAATCTCCTGTTGTCCTCCTTTCTTCTTGCATTTCTCCTCCTCTTTTCCTCTCCACCTTCGCTCCATTTGCTGCTGCTTCTCCTGCCTCCCCCTCCTCCTCCCCATCCCCACCATTCACTCGGGCTCTGCAGGAAGAGACAGATCCAGCAGTGCGATGTGAAATGTTGACAACTGCGGTCAAGTTGTTCTTCCAGCGGCCAGGAGAGGTCAGCAAGTCTGTCGTGTGCTGGCTCAGTCACTCGGACCTCTCAGATGCAGGCCATGCTCGGACGGCTCCTCAAGTTCGCCATAGCGGACGTATCCAACGTCGATGTACATGATCGTGCGCTGTTCTACTACAGGATCCTGTCGGTCGATCTCGATACGGTAAGCTAGAGAGGAAGAGAGGGGGGGGTATTGTGATAAGGTTGGCAGGCGAAGATGCTGATGATGGGGGAGGGGATGGATCTAGAGGCTTTCACGGACGAGAACACCAACGAGCTCAAGGATCGTATGTTCGAGTCGTTCGGCAGTCTCTCGGCAAGCTCGCCCTCACTCCTCTCCTCCTCTTACTTGCTCCACTTCAGGTCATCTACAACATGCCCGAGCAGCGCTGGCTCTCCGAAGAAGCGCTCAAGGCGAGATACGTGGTGGCAGATGCTGCTGTAGCAGCCGGAGTCATCTCGGGTCCCATCCCAGCCCATCCCAGCCCTGGCCATGCTCCAACCCCAGCTCCAGCAGCTCAGGCATGATGATGATGATGATGATGAGGAGGAGGAGGAGGAGGAGGAGGAGGAGGAGGAGGAGGATGGCGGGCGGGGGGGGGGAGGGAGAGGAGAAGGAGGCTTGCTTGTTGACTCGTCAGATGAGCAGAAGGCGGGAACAGACCTGCTCGACCTCCTGGACGAGCCTGTGCCTAGCAGCAGAGGAAGAGCTGACCCTCTGGACGACTCGTCCATGCCGCTGGAGCCATCACCGTCCTTGTCCCCTGAGGCCTTCCAGGATGTCTGGGTGACAGGAGGGCGGGGGAGGCTACTGCTGCTAACATGAGCTTCAACAGATGCAACTGGGAGGGGGCGAGCCTTTCATCATCAGCTTCTCAAGAGATTCTAGCGCGCAGGAGATCGAGCTCCTCCTCTCACACAACAACGTAACTTCTACTCTACTCCTTCTCTCTCCTCTCTTCCTCCTCCTCCCACTTCTACCCTTCCTGAGAGCTTCTTCTCCTATTCCTCCTCCAAGTGTGCTGTGCTGTTCTTTTATTCTACATCTCACTCCTCCTCACCCAACCTCCTCAATTTCACTGGTGCTGCAGGTCCGGGTCATGGCTCAGGGTCAAGCTTCACCCAATCAGCACAAGTGAATTCCCACCCTCCCGCATGCTCCAGCTCATGCTGCCGCTTAGGTTCTTCTTCTACGCCAAGACCATCGGAGGTCCTCTCATCCTCTGCGAGACTACTCTTGACATGTGGGTATCCTGTTCCTTTTCGGCTTCTCCTTCCCCCCGCTCTCCCCCTCCTTCCTCTCTCCCCCTCTCCTCCCCTTCCCCTTCCCCTCCTCTCCCTGTCCCCTCCCCCTTTCCTCCCTGTCTCCTCCCCCTTTCCTCCCTTTCCCTCCTCCCAACCTTTTCTTCCCCCTCCCCGACTCAAATGTCTGCAGATCTTCCAAGACCCTCACAAGCCTCGTCAAGTGCAACGATGCCGATCTCATCCCTGCCTTCTTCATCCACTTCAAGATGTCACTGACGCCGCTCATGGCGTAGAGCAGCATCATATTATCAGCATTTCTTACAAACAAACCAGATTCCTTCTATCTACACCATCGAGCCAACCATCAACTCTCCCCTTCACCTCATCGTGATTCTGAAGAAGACAGAAATCTTGACATGTCAGGGATGCTATGGCATCACTTGCTTGTACAAGATTGTGGGCAACACCTCAGGCTCAGTAGCTCGAACCTTTGTTCGCAGCTTCGATATTAGCGTTCGTCATCCTCCTGCGAAACTTCGCCTCTGTTATCCTCCCTGAAGTCTCTTCCTGCAGAGAGCATTAGTGTCTCTCACTATACTCTCACCTCCTACATTCTTCGCCTTCAGCTTCTGCTGATACCATCTGCAACGGCCACATGAAGTGAGTTGAACAGACAAGAAACACTCCAAACGCTTCTCACCTGACCGCTCCTGCCGCAATGAGAAGGTACCTGTGCATGAAGGTGAGCGAGCAAGAACCAGAGGAACGATTCACCAGCACACCAGCTTGCGAAGAAAGCGTGCTTCTTGATCTTTGTGTTTCCGGCCATCGCAAGTTGCTGGCAGGGGAAGTCAGGGGAGGGAGGAATAAGTTGTAAGGTTGCTTGCAGATCGTATCGAGCTGTTTCATGATCATACATTCCCAAGACTCTCCTTTGCTCTTAGAGAAGTGGCGATGGCGGTGACATGTCGATAACGAACACGGGCAAGGGCAGGGATGGCATTCAGACCAAGAGCACGGGAACACCAAGTGAAGAACAGCAACAAGAACAGGGGGAGCAAGAGCAGGAGCAGGAGAATCAGAAGGAGAAGGAGACAGAATGGAAGAATAGTATGTGAACGATGGTGATCATGACAATGGGGGCGGTAGAAATATGCGAGGATCATCGTCTTTGTCTATTAAAACTGCGGCACTGTTGTGAAATGCAATCTCCTTCTAATTCCCTCCGTCCCGTTCCTCGCCGACTCCCTCACATCTCTCCTTCCTGTCTTGTCCTTTCCTCCTCGATCTCCTTCTCTCTCCTCTCCATCTCTCCTCTCTCCTCTCCTCCCTCTACCATGCCCTCTTCGCTTCTACTGTATCGCCATTGCGACTTCTCTGTTGAGTGATTTTTCTGTCGTATTTATGAGGCATGTTAATCTAGATTAAGAGATCTTAATCCTGATTTGTGGGATTTTTAGAAACGAAACTTGATTCCATGGGTTGTGACCAGGGAGAGCGGGAGAGCATGCAGGTTGGAGGTCGAAGGAGAAGATCGTGATGGAAGGAGGACGATGTCCAGAGACAAAGAACATGGAAGGACGAACATGAAGTCGACGACTGGTTTGGTTAGAGTACCATGAAAAGCATCAGATTTCAATCCAATACCATGAGATTTTGTACCTGTCTTCTGTTGCTTGTAGATCCTCTGCTCTTGGTTGCTTCGTACGATTATCACCGTCATGCCATGATGAATCTGAGCCGGTCCAAACAAGTTCACATCTTCTTCTACGCCTGGTTCGGCAGCGAAGCCATTGACGGGAAATGGAGTGAGTGGGACCATCCTGTTCTGCCACACTGGGACAAGGAGGAAAGACCCAAGTTCGACTACGGGAGAGTCTACTCTCCTCCTGACGAGATCGCTTCCGTCTACTACCCGTCAAGAGGCCCTTACAGCAGCATGAACCTCTCTGTGGTAAGAGAGCAAATGCTTGAGATAAAGGAGGCAGGCGTCGACGTCGTCGTCTTCTCATGGTGGAAGCTCCCGGCCTCGAGCGATGGCGCGAGGGGATGGGGCGTGAAGGACTCAACAGATGCAGCGGCTCCTCTTGTGCTGGAAGCAGCAGCAGAGGCAGGGATAAAAGTATGCTTCCACCTGGAGCCGTACAAGGGGAGGGAGTATCAGACGTGAGGGAGGATATCGGGTACATCAACTCTAAGTACGGCCATCATCGAGCATTCTTCTATGCTGACAAGCTGCCCTTGTTCTACGTCTACGACTCCTATCAGCTCCCTCTTGAAGACTGGAGGGCCCTTCTCCACCCCAACGGCTCACTGACTGTGCGGGGCTCTGAGTTGGACGGGTTATTCCTGGGACTGTACTTACAAAGGGGGCACGAGAGGTTTGCGACAGAAGGAGGTTTTGACGGACTCTACTCCTACTTTGCGAGCAGCGGCTTCTCCGATGGCAGCAGACCCTCCGAGTGGCGGCGACTGTCGGCATGGGGGAGGAGCGTCGGGAAAATCTTCTGCCCGTAAAATTCTTCTCTTCCTCCTGCTCCTCTTCAACCTCCTCCTCCTACTCCTAACTCCTACTCCTGATCATCATCATCATCATCATCATCATCATCATCATCATCATCCATTTTCGTCCCCCTCTTTCCCCCTCCCCCTCCTCTCTTCACCTCCACCTCTTGTTGGGGTGACAAAGGCTGCAGGTGCGTGGGTCCTGGCTACGACGACTCGCGCATCCGTCCATGGAACGCAGCGTCATGGCGGTACCGGGCGATGGGGAGGTACTATGAGGACATGTGGAGGGGAGCAGAGGAAGCAGGAGGGGTGCAGTTGGTAGCCATCACCTCCTACAATGAGTGGGGGGAGGGTACTCAGATTGAGCCTGCTGCGTCCTCTCCTGCTCGCGCCTCGATGTATCAGACGTACGGGGGGAACGAGAAGCTCTTCATTGAGCTGACGCGGAGCCTGGCAAGTCGATGGAGGAAGGCGATTGCCAAGGAGGAGGAGGAAGAGAAGGTTGTGTTGCGAAAAGCCGTCATGCTGGAAGTATCGCGGCTGCACAGCCTGATCCAGATGAAGTATGAGTGCAGGGAGGGAGGGAGGGAGGGAGAGAGAAGGGAGAAGGAGGTCGAGCAGGTGGAGAGAGAAAAGGTGAAGGAGGAAGTGAGGAGGCTGAAAGAGAAGGTCGAAGAGCTCGATCTTGAGGTGGAGGAGGAGGACATGAAACAGCTGATGAGGGTCTTCGACGACAGCGCTCCTCAATGCACAGCGTCAAGGCCGAAGCAAGAGGAGGAAGTGAGACTGGTTGTGGGAGGAAAGCTGAGCAGCGACGAGCTGAAGCTCTCCTGCGGCGTTTGCTTCTCCTCAGCTAAGGTGCAAGACGATGAGCGAGAGGAGGCATGCATGAAGTGTACAGGACCACTGGGACGAGGTCGGTTTGAAGAAGCAGCAGCAGCAGCAGCAACAGCAGGGGCAGCAGCAGGAATGGGCAATGTTGACAATCATGCACAAACTAGTAGACAGGAAGGAGCTGGAGGAGAAGCGAGGGATGGTAGTTATCAGCTGTCTCCTCCGTTTCAATTGAGCGAATTCGACAAGTTAAGGGAGGAAATTCAGACTTTGCTAAGCAAGCTGGCTGAGGTAGAGAGAATTCCTACCTGCCTTCCCTGCTCTTCTGACATCACATCACATCACATCACATCACATCACATCACATCACATCACATCACATCACATCACATCACATCACATCACATCACATCACAGCACAGCACCTCTACTTCATGAAACATGTCTCTGCCCTGCTCTCTGCCCTGATTATTCCTCCTCACTTTAGTCATAAACTTCTGCAGGCTCAGAGGAGAGCGAACGAATGTATCTTAGAGGAGCGAGCACGCGTCAGTTCCATCCTCCTCTCCTCCCCCTCCCCTTCCTCCTCTTTCCTCCCCTGCTCCTCCTCCCCCTTCTCTCATTTCGTTTTCTCCTCTACATCCCCGTCATCTTCCCCTTCTCTCCATCGTTCCCCTCCCTTCTCTTCCTCCCGTTTGTCCTCCTCCTCCCCCCTCTCTCCCTTCCCTCTTCTACTCTTCCTCCTCCTTGCATTGCCCAGCTTACGGTGTTCTCGTGGTGCAGTCAAAGCAGATGTCTGAGATGAAGCACGAGCTTGAGAAGCTACGGAGTAACATGAAGGTGTAAACTTGAATCTCCTTCCCTCCTCCTCTCCTCCTGCCTCCCTCTTCCTCCTGCCTCCCTCTTCCTCCTGCCTCCCTCTTCCTCCTGCCTCCCTCTTCCTCTTGCCTCCGTTCGTGCTCCCTCCCTCCATCCCTCTATCTGGCGTTCCATCGGAACCTCCTCATCATTCATTCGTTTACTCCTTGCTCACCTCATTGCAGGATGTTCAAATGGAGATGAAGCAGCAGCAAACTAAGGTAAGGGAGCTGGTTGAACCCCTATCTCCTTTCTTCACTCCCCCTGCTCCCTTACCCTCCCCCATTCCCTTCCTCCTCTCTTCTTTCCCTGCCTTAGCCCTCCTCTGTTCATTTCCCCCCCTCCCCTCTCTCCTCTCACTGCTTCTCCCTCTCTTTTTCTCACTGCTTCTCCCTCTCTTCCTGCTCTTCCACTTACCTTTCATCCTCTTCCAGCTCAAGAACCTGGAGGAGCGTGACGTCGCTATGCGGAAGGCAAGACCCTCTCACTCTTCACCTCCTCCTCACAGGGTCTCAGGCTCTACTTCAGTCGCTCTCCCTCCTCAGCACTTCACTGCAGCAGGAGATCTGACCGGCCGATCATACTGAATGTTGACGAACCTCTGGAACTCTTATCCTCCTCCTCCTCCTCCTCCTCCTCCTCCTCCTCCTCCTCCTCCTCCTCCTCCTCCTCCTCCTCCTCCTCCTCTTACTCCTCCTATTCCTCAATCTCTGGTTCTTATTTTTCTCCATCACCATCGTCAGCGCCTACCCCTGCTCTGCAGTTTTCCTCTTCTCAACATTCTCAATGTCATGTCTGCTTGCTTTGACATCTTTGGCACTACCACCAACTCGAACTCTGGAGTTTGCATCGCATGAGAGGGAAGGTAAGAAGGAAAAGAAAGCAGATCTAACGATGTTATTATGTCTCGAAAAAATATGTGATCTCCTCCTCATCATCATTATCTTCTTCTTCATCATCATCTTCATCTTCATCATCATCATCATCTTCTTCTTCTTCTTCTTCTTCTTCTTCTTCTTCTTCTTCTTCATGTCTCATAGAACGCGTGCTCCCATGCCTGCCTCAGGGCTCAACCGCCTGCCTCTTTCGCTTTCTCCTCACCTTTCCGTATCTCTCGAGCGAGGAGAGGATGTCGCCGAACGCCTGCAGCAGCTTCTTGCTCTCGTACTTGTGCTTCCTGCAACCCCCGTGACCTCCTACCCCTTCCTCTCTTCGCCTCCCCATCCTCATCATCGTCGTCGTTGACGTCCCCGCCAAACCCCACCAACACCGTCACCACCACCACCACCACCACCACCTCCTCCTCCTCCTCCTCCTCCTCCTCCTCCTCCATTTTCTCCATCCTTGTGCTCACATGCCATGCTTGGCGAAGAGGTCGCGCACGAGCGGAGCGACTTTTGGGTAGTTGTGACGAGGCATGGTGGGGAACAGATGATGCTCGATCTGCAAGCAGACGTGAGGGAAACCAGCAGGGAGGAAACGACAGCAGGGAGGTAACAGCAGGGAAAACAGCAGGGAGGTAACAGCAGGGAGGTAACGACAGGGAAGAAGGGGAGGAACGATCAGAAGTTCATGGTGGGGGAGGGGCTGGGGGAGGAGACCTGATAGTTGAGGTGACCGGTGAACCAGTCGTTGAACGCTCCTCCTTCCACGTTGCAGGTGGCTGCGAGCTGGAGCGACGGCCAGTCGTGATGCTCCGCCTCGTCAAACTTGCTGATGCTGCAGGGCAACAGCTGAGGTCCTGCTGGGGAGGGAAGGAGGGAGAGTGGGAGGGGGTGGGGTGGGGAGGGTGTCAAACCTCATGGGGATGTGACTCATCTGAGTGACCCAGACGAACCAGTGGGACTCGATGACGCGAACAGTCTGAACGAGACGATGAGAGAGGAAGGAAAGAGGAGAGAGGAGAGAAAGAGATGAAGGGGGGGAAGGAGGAGATGCAAAAGGAGGAGCAAGGAAGGTCCAAGAAGAAGGAACAAGATGCCAAGGAAGCAGCATGAAGAGAAGGAGGAGGGCCAAAGAGATCAAGAGAGGACGAGAACGTCACCATGTACAGGCCGAACCATCCCCACAGCCCTCCCAGCAGCGGGCCATACATCAAGTGCCAGCGAATGAAAAACGAAGCCATCCAAAGAAACTGTAAGACAGTCACTCGCTCCTTCGCACAAGCTTCCTTCCCCCGCCCTCCCCCTCCTCGTATCTCACCTCCTCCCAGAAGAAGCGCCGATGCTGTCGCAGATATCTCTCGGTGCCGTAGGAATCTTTCCACATCCCTGACTTGCCCCAGACCGCATTGCCAATGACATATCTGCAAGAGATAAGATATCCTCCCTCCTCCCCTTCCTCTCCTTCTCGCCATGCACCCTCCTCCTCTGCCGCCGCCGAAGCCACCTGCTCCTCATTCTCCCCTCCTCCTCCTCTCCCCTCCTCTCCCCTCCCCCTCCTCCCCCTCCTCCCCCCGTCACCTCAGATTCTCGTAGTGGAAGTAGATCGGAAGGAGCAGAGGAGGGCCGATGATCCACCTTCCACCCTTCCCGTTCAGTCCCATGACCCCCGTGTTCCTCTCCTGCTCTGTTCTTCTCTTCTCGCTGCCTTATTCAGCTTTTCCCTCCCCTCCCCGTCGCCCTCGCCTTCTCCTTCCCGCCTCCCCCCCTCCTCCCATCCCGTCACGTCCCTGCCCTGTTCCCTTCTCCTTCCCTCGTATCTCTCTCACCAGTACTGGTGCTGCAGGGAATAAGGAAGAAAGCCCTTCACTTTTCCTTCTCGTTGCTTCTTGGCCCATCTGTGAGCGAGCATAGGGCTCAGCTGAGTGGAATCGGACTCTCCTCTCCCCTCCTACCGTCTCGACATGGACTCGCCCAGCATAAACACGTACGGCATGTTGATATCAGGATCTGACCACTCCTCGTCAGAGCATAGCCGACCCCCGTGCCGACCGTCTCCACCTGTGTCCTGAATGTTCGGCTTTGCATGATGCAGGTAATGCCTGGCAGTAACATCTTACATGACCTCCATACATCTCTCAACATTGCACATGACCTCCATACATCTCTCAACATTGCACATGACCTCCACACATCTCTCAACATCTCACATGTATACATGTGCATACATACATCTGTCTCCCCCTCCCTCCCACTCTTCATTACAGCCTCTCTACCTGTAGTTCCACCATGCCGAAGAAGCCGCTTTCAAGTGGAGGATAACAAATCGATGAGCCAGGAGGTTCAAACTTCGACCTGTCGCGCGTCACCGCGAGCTCACAGACAACTTCGACAAGACTCACTCTTGAACACGGAAAGATGCCCGAGGTCGTGCTGAAGCCATCCCGCCTGCGATGAGCGTGCTTGAGCAAGAGAGAGACAAAGGAGCGAACAGAGAGGAGTGAAGGGCTCAGAATCTCACTTGAGCCTGCGCTGTTGTCAACAGGACGACAGCTGCCATGTACGCGATCCATCCGCTTCCAAACCGCTGAGGAACATGTCAGAACTTGACATCGTCCTCACCTCCTCCTCTTCCTACCTTGAGCACAGCCCACGCCAGCAGCTCCAGCACAAGAATGTGCGCTAGCATCCCAAGGTAGAACCTCGACGGATGTCAGAGGAGCAGGAGAATAGCATCCCTACCAGGGGTTCGCCTTGTACATTCCCGCTGCCTTCAAGCTCGACCTCAGCCTGCTCCATCCGTCAGCATCACTCCCCTCCTCGCACGCTCCTTGCTTTCGGAAGTCTTCTTCCAGCTCCTTGTTTCTCGCTCCATCTTTCTCCTTTGACTGAGCGCGCGACACGTTCAGAACCTCAGCAACCAGATCCTCTCGTCCGTGACAAGATCCGGACAGCATCGCTGACCTGGTCGTCGGCAACCAACGAAGACACTTTGAGCCCCACCAGATATTTCTGATCAACACAAAAGTCACCTCGAGCAATCAGAACCATCGCTGTTATCTCATGCTGTCCGAGTTGTCTCACAAGTTTCCTCTATCCCTCTACAACTTCTCACCTTCATAGCGTCGTCGTCGCGGTGAAATGCTTCGAAGGGGTCGGTCGCATCCTCCCCAACATAGGCCAGGAGCACCTGACCATCGTCGTCAGAGGAGCAGCCTGACTCTGATCCAAGAGATCATGCGTCACCTTCCTCCCGGATGCTTCTGCACCCATCCTCCCACGTCATACACATTCCCGTGTATCACCATCAGCTGCTGCCCTCCCTTACACAGGCTGCAGAACTGCAGTCCGTTGTCAGAGCAAGAACCTCGCCACTGGAGCTCGTACCTCATCCCATCTGATGCGACTCGGGATGGAGAGAGGCGAAGACGGTGAAGGATTCTTGCACATCCTCTGCACAGAACCTCAACAGAAGCATCCTTCTTCTTCCCTCACTCTTGCTTCAATGTCTCACAGCCGTCTTGTCCCCTGAGCTCTCTTTCTCCTTGGTACTCAGTCTACTTCACTCTTTCCTTGTCCCTCCCTCCCTCCCTCCCTCCCCCGATCCCCGCCATCCCGATGTCTCTGGTACATTTTCGTTCTGTCATTCATTCAAGGCCTCGGAGATCCTGAGGCGGACTTCCATACTCTATAAGAGGGGTAGTGATTCGTGACCAATCTGAGTTTTGATAGATCTGAACAAATACCCCCTAAAAGTTCAGAGGTCCATCTCTCCGAATATGAACAAATACCCCTCATATGTTCCGCATCATTCCTGAGCGGCCGGACAATCATCCCTGAATGTTCAGAGGGTTTTGATAGATCTGAACAAATACCCCCTTAAAGTTCAGAGGGTTTTTGATAAATCTAAACTAAACCCCTAGGGGTTCCTTTAAAATAACCTTGATCATAATCTACTGCCATCACATATGTGCTTTAGATTATATACAATCACCGAACAATCATATCCTTAAAGTTCAGAGGGTTTTTTGATAAATCTAACAAATACCATCTAGGGTTCCTTTAAAACTAACCTTGATCATCATAATCTACTGCCATCACATATGTGCTTTATATACAATCACTGAACAATCATATCCTTTTAAAGTTCAATACACTTAAAGACATTTCATAAAAATGAATATAACTCATATTCTTTCTTATTCAACTGATCATTATGATTCATTACATCTTCCACATCTCCGACATCCATATCCATAAGGGTGACATACACTCTTCCAGATATTATGAATACAAACAAGTCTTTAATAACCTTGTTCACTCCATCAATCAAGTCTTCATCGACAAACCACACATCACCCCACACAACTCTATCATCGTTATCACTGGTGATATCTTCGATAGCAAAGGCATCGCCTCCAGCTATGGACTCGACCTTTACAAAGACCTTCTCACTAAACTACTTCAGATCACCTTCGTCATCGTCATCCCTGGCAACCATGACATCAAACAAGAAGAATCTGAATCACCCTGCCTTGTCTCCGCCATCGCTTTCGATGTCCCCAACCTTCACATCCTCGATACCACCAAAACACTACAAATACATAATGTTGGTTTCACCACCG